TGAAGTCCACTACATATGTTTCACCATATATGACATTCTCAAGTGGTTAACAGAAACATTTTATCCAATTTGGACTCGTCAACATGTTACTTCAAATACAAAATATTTACATCGTGACACAAAAAAAAACTAAATAAATAAAAAGACTTGCTGTGGGACCGTCCTACGCATGGCAACTAAATAGTCCCAAAAAACTGCTTTCAAATCAGTACTGCTGGTTTATATTAAGTTGTCATTTTCAAAAGCCGCAGTCAAAACATCATTATTATTATTTTTTTTTTATAAGCGAAACATATGTAGTGGACATCAAACACTATATTTAAACTGCAAGACGAGGTATGTAATAAAGTCTTACTACGCAGTTCAGGAGCTACAAAATGGATTTTTAAAGAGTGTTGTTAAATTTTAAAGGTTTTGCAGGACTGAATTTGACTAACCAAATTTAAAACTAATATTTCACCATACAAGATACAAAGGAATTTTTCAACATGCGACAACAATGCTCAAAGAACAGATAACCTGTCTAGAGATTTGAAAGTGCATTCAAGTTTCTAGTTTTTAGTTTCTTTTGATCATGCAATGCTCCACTTTCCAAGATTAAACCCTGGCCAACGTCTCTCTACGGCATGCGATCGACTCAAAGCGCCGTATACGTACATTTCACGGTCCATATACGGGCAGCTAACGGCCTGTGTCCTGTAATAATCGCTTCAACACGAGAGTACTAGGGTGAAATCTCATCTTAAGTATTCGATTTTTGGGCGTTCGAACATGATCGCATTCATGATTTTAATCATTCATTTTATTTATGTATTTAAAATACCCCTGCCGTAGAAAACCAGCGCCATTTACATATCGTACTAAGAACCTACTTAGCTTTTGACACTTACCTAACTTATAAGGAAGAGACTTTAAAACTTACAATTTAATTTCGTATTTTGTTAAACGTTGATGTTTGACAAACTGTTTTTGTGTGATGCGTTTATATTGTATTATAAGGAAGAGACTTAAACAAAACATACAATTGAATATCAAGGTAGATGTGTGATGTGTTTCATACTGCATAGAACTAAATTGTCTACTTCTGTTACCTAACCCTGTTGCAAATGTACATCACGGGTATAGCGAGCTTTTGCTTTAGGCCCGTTACAAATATACGCCAACCCCGTACGTAGGACGGGTACTCTGCTAGTGCGCTATAATAATAATGAACACTACGATAGGGGATATCTTCCTCCAACGTTTGATACTTTTGTTGCTTTAAGTTTAAAATATAGCTTCCCACTTGGAAGAACTGCGGAGAACGTAAACTCTATGACCTCACAACATCCTACTCTAATCCTTACTCATACTTGGGTTAAAATACACACCTAATACGCACCTGGGTGGTGTCCCCATCTCATAATGATAGTGATATTGACGTTCATATAGCGTGCATTCGGATTTTCCCACGTAAGATTGTGTCCTGACATCCAGGCACTAATGAAACTGAGAAAAATACTATAGGCAATATTAAACAGCTACTTTCGTCCAACTCAAAATCAGTAAAATCGTCAATCATTTTACCGATTTATTTGCCGGAGACGCGGTCAGGGTCATTTTTGAAATTAGTGTCAGCGTATTTTTCTCAGAATTTGAAAATAAACTTTATTGATTAATATTTATTGATTAGTAGTTTTCCAGGTCCCCGTAATATCTTAGACCAACACAATTAGTAAGATTAAAATTAATTACACATTTAATCATAATCGTTTACGTTTTAACACTTGAGCCGTAACGACTGAAGACGGTAGTAGTGTAAGGACGGAGACGGGACGTGGAAGGCGCAAGTCACCCATATAACACGTCGCTGTGTCACAGCTGAAATTGCAACTTCCCCTCTCCCCACCCTTGCTCGGAGCTGGTATATTGTCTCCTGGACACCAATACAACATTCTTATCCAACCGATTTCTCCCAAACAATGAGCTGGTTGGGATCGAAGCGCAATAAGTGCATTATTGCTGTTCAATGTTGTTAGTCTAAAGTGTAATGATGAAGTATCAGAAGTAGGGATGCGTTGTTGCATGGAGGCTCTTGGATATTTTTGTAGGTTAAGTTTATTATTTATTTTTTAACGTTTTAACATTTTAACGTAATTTATAATTTTGAAATTATCTAGTAAAATACAAACAGTATAGTTCGGCCGCTTAGAAAGCGACCTCCTCTAGCATTGGTTTAGCATTAGCGCGCAGGTCGTTTTCTAAGCGGCCGAACTATAGCAATCCGACTCATACTTTTTCCCATTAGCTTGTCAACAACCATTATCATAAGTGGTGGGATCAACAATAATATTTTATGGGGAAAATCACGAATTTTGGAAAGGAAAAACACTTTCAAATCATATTTTTTACAGCTAGGGAGATCCTAAAGTTTTGTTTGGAGTTGAAAATGCAATAACGTACTAAATTTCAATAAAAATATATTTCAACCATTTCTTTTAAATCTGATTTTACACAACCACAAAAAATTCACCATCAAAAAACAAATGCCATGGATTGGTATCGACGTACCAAATTTCATCAAAATCGGACCATAGGTGTGGTTTGTAACTCTGCACACACCGACACACACACACCAACTTAGCTCCGAAAACCACTTTTTTGTTTCAGGGGGTCCAAAACTATATCCACACAAAACTAAAACTCGACGTTGTTGACGAAAACAATACTTTTCTCCGTGTATGGGGGTGAAAGTACAAACAAGTTCAGAATACTGTAACACATTTTTACATTGATCTCTTGACCAACGGTTGGTGGAGCTGTAATCGAGGTGTTCAAACAGCGTTCCAGGAAAGGTCAAAGCTCTACGTTGGCGTGGGCCTCTTGAACAATGTTCAACTCCAACATTAAACATCGAGCGCCTCCCACGCCCAATAACACTTCTGACTACAGAGTACGGACGATTTTACTATTGTAATTGAATTTAATATGATACTCATTTTAAGCTGACGGTTTTAATTTATTTCCTTCAATGAGGCAATAGACCGCTTACACTTTTTGTTGACCTAGGACGCTAGGAACGAGCCCAGAATTGTTTTGCATATTACTTCAGGCTATACCTACTAGTAAGGGTTGCGGCACTATTACTTAGATCAAATCAATCGGGGATTTGGCGGGATTTGAACCCGGGACCTCAGAGACCGAAGTCCTACGCTGTAAACAATAGACCAGCTCACCAGACCGCTTACACTAAACGTTATTTTAATAAACATTTAACATCATTTTCATATTATTTTGCAATATTTCGTGAAATTAGAAACTGCTAATTTTAAACATACAGTTTGTCTCTTACAAATATTACTGAGCCTGATACCGTTTATTGAAATCCGGTTAGTATCAAAGATGATATGATAAATTACTTTTATGTAATAAGGCTAATTACATAAAACTCTTTTATTACATTTTAAATATTGACGGTTAAAAATATTGTGGGAATTTTTATTTAATAATCTAAAATTTATTGTTTTACTAGTAACATCATTGAGGAAATTCAAAACTGAATTAATATATTACCGTGGAAGAAAATAAAATCAACGTTTTTGCAGAATTACACAAAAAAATTAGCCTTTTTACGACAAATTTTGATAGCAAAATATACAATGATATACTGTAGAACCAATTCCTTAGCGATGCAGTAGCGCCTAAACAAATAAAGCAACATGAGGACTGTATCATTATTGCCTATCTTGCGCCGTGGCGGACGTCTTGCTATACGCCATATGACACTCCTGCATCTGTGTACTGAACATACATCTATTTTTCATTAATGTTTTTTTAATATAATTATTATATTTCTATCTTTTATCCTTTTGTTATGAGTATTTATTGGGTCATATCAATACGCACAATTGACTCTTAATGTTAACGTCGCTTTATATTGTTTTGTTTTCAAATTAAGTTTTAAAATAAATAAAAAGGTAAAAAATGTAGATTAATTTTTACATAAACTATTTATAATATACGTATATTATTCCAAAATGATGGTTTATAACTGCAATCCTACTAATATTATAAATGAGAAAATTTGGATGTGTGGATGTATGGATGTATGGATGTATGTTTGTGACAAGTGAACGCGAAAAATACTGGTCGGATTGGGCTGAAATTTGGCATGATGATAGCTCACATTCCCGATTAACATATAGGCATATTCTTATTTAAAAAATCCTTTCGGGCTCCGCCCCAGTGGCTCTGGAGTTTCCCATGTTAACCTTATGAGAAATGGAATTATTGAATCTTAACAGCTGTTTCAATTAAACAAGTTGGTTCTGTTCTATGATGTTCAATAGCATTAAAGTTACAAGGATTACCAACAGGGTGCAGCACTATTATTTCTTTTACATTTATGACAACAGCTAATTTGCAACCAAAAGGTGAGTGAGCGTAGCGAACGAACTTCAACCTGGAGGCGAGTTAGCGTAGCGAACAAAAGTCAACCAGGGCGTGATTGAGCCATGCGAACGAGATAATCTTGAAAATTAAGAAGTTAAACGGGGCAAAGCCCGCGGGTTACAGCTAGTACTACATAAATGTCATTAGATTAATTATGGGGATGTTTTATTTCATTATTATGTGATTAGTTATTTCAGCTGATGTACTATCACAAAATAACCCAAGTTTAGCTAAAAAAGTCCCCAAAAAGAGGAAAATTTACTCTTAGATCCACATGTACTATATATTTCCGCTAAATGTGTGCTTAGAGTTTGATAAAAACTGAAGTGTGTCCTCTAAATATATAAACAATCAGTAAAGCAAAATCAGTCAGGTCTCTAAAAATAAGTTAAATAATATTTAGTTGATATCAGCTAACAAACCTTGTAAAATCAGGTTTACAATAGGATGAGATGGTTACTCACTCTTGAAACTCAATGGCACTTGTCTCCAACATGTGTTCTGTAATATTTACATTCATCTGTAAACCAAATATGTAAGAGTATACTAACCAAGCACGTTGTTTCCAGGTGAACTTTGGGGACGTTTTCATCCCTGCTAATCTGGAAGTGCCCAAGGCGCGAGTGTTGCCGGAATTCCGACGACTGGCGCACGGTCTTCGGTCTGGCAACATCACAGTGTTGGATGCCAAGACATTCTACATCCCCAACCTACACTACGATGGCGCCGGCCCTGATGCTTACTTCTGGGTCGGCAACGGCACGGAACCATCCCCACTAGGCATCAAGGTTGCCAACGAGATGGGCAGGTAATATTCACAACTATGTAAATCATGTTTCCACTCATTGTTGTGGCTTACCCCTGAACCGGGAAGACAAAAGTGGTTTATTTAGCTTTTATTTTCGTCCCTGATCAAAAATAGTTGTATCTTCAACCAAGGTTTCAACGCTATGCGTCATGATCACATACCATGTCGATAAATATCATAACAATGTGATAATAATTCTTGTCGTAGTGACTACCTGATCATGACACAAATAGCGTTTAAAATTAAAGTCCAATAGAGTCCATGTTCTTGACATAAATTCTACCAATACACAAATGGCTTACTGACAGACATCTTTTAAGATATAATTTCTTATCACTATTTCATAGTTATCACTTGTAATTTGTTTTGGAATCTTCGGTTTTGTTATTCTTATAAAGGCTATAAACATGATAGATTGTCAAAACTAGGGTTTGACCGAATCGTTACCGTAATAAGTAAGACCAGAGACAATGTTTCTGGTGCGCAGCAGCTCACCATCTTTGGTGCAAACTACTATTTAACTGTTTAAGTCTACCCAAAGATTTGACAATCAGCTGTGACTGTAGAAGCCCATCATCGAGGACCTGATGGATTGATGAATCGTTCTTTATTTTCAATAATTGATGTGTTTGATTTCAGCCTGGAACCCCTAAGAGGCTACCAAGGAGAAGACATAGAGATCCAGTTGCCCGGTAACTTGACGGTGTACGACATCGACTGGCTGGCCGTGTGGTGTGTTCAGTACAGACATAACTTCGGCCACGTCAACATCCCCAAGGACCTAGACGTGCCCCCTGCCCTGGGACAGACCAAGATCACTGTGAGTCCTAAGCCTAAGCCCACCAGGAAACCTTCTAAAAAGAAGCCTCAGAGGCCTTTGATATCATGGTTGGGCTATTTTGATTATGAATAAAAACTTAGAAAAAACATTTCTATTCAACATGGGTGATAGCAAGTTCCTTCATAGAGATTTGGGCTTAAAATATTAATATTTATTTATTTTTATTATAATTAGCTTTTGGTAATTATTTTTTTTTATTTTGCTATATTTTTTTATTTTTGTGGTGTTATGTTTTATGTGAATTTGTTTGTTGTTTATTTTGTTACTTTTGTTATTTAATAAATAGGCTATACAATGTTATTTTTGTGTTATTTTCCTGTAATAACGAAATTGAGACATTGAGTACAAATAGTTGTTTTCAGGTGTAATTGTAGTTAAGGGAATCATAAACAATTCACACACAAATGTTGCCAAGTTGCACTGCAAGACTAGGGGGATGTACATTACTTATTTCATCGTGATTTAGCCTCCGGATAACCATTATTTCAATAAAGTGGTTTAAATACCTGCATAAAAGTTATCCAAAATCTTGGATAACTTTTATGCAGGTATTTAAACCACTTTACTTATTTCATAAACCAGAGGTATATTTTTGACTTGAACTCTTCACTATTTTACTTTACTGGACGAAGTTTGACAAAATGGTTTCTGCCAATATGTTAAAAATGTTGACCCATTGAGGAGTCAATCCTGTAATAAAAATGTATTCTTTGTTCAAAAGATTGTTTTTTAAATAATACGTACAGTATTTAATTTAAATGGTACCGGTAAAGTGTGAAACAACAAATCAACACAAATATCAAATATGATCTATATCCCAACTATTTCATTATGATATCCGATTTTGTGAAGAGGTTTCTAAAATTGGCCACAGAGGTTTTTTGGATACAATACCCACAAATTCATTGCACTCAGTCAATGAACACTGGCAAAAAATTTTGTAATTTTAAATATAGCATGAAGTAAACTGGAATTCATTAAATTAGAAGTTTTGGTTGTGTATTAGATACATTTATACCTGGTAATAATTACATTTATGTTTTGCTTGACTGGGATAGCCGCCATGGTGGTACAATCCGGTAAGTTTCAGTCTGTTCTTTGATTAACTACTCTATAGTGCTGCTAGACAATTACAATTTATTACTTAAAATCATAAAAGTGATATTGAGCTACTAAATAACACATTGAATTTTTCAAACACTGATATGTCAAATACCCATGCATACTTTGTTCATTTAGTATGCAGAGATTTAACTAGGGTTACACAAAGAAATGGGAAAAGGAACATGCTGATCAAAAGTTTTTTGTACAATATGAAAATAATTATAATAATGGTACTATACCTCGTCAAGTAATCCAAATGTTGTTTGAGGTTAACAACCTACATGTTTCGCCGTAAATACGGCATCGTCAGGGTTACAAAAACGAAGACATCGATGTCACACGCACACAATAAATACACGAATACGAACATTTAATTACGGAAAGACAAAGTAAACATTTAATTGGCATTGATAGGCGTGTGACATCGATGTCTTCGTTTTTGTAACCCTGACGATGCCGTATTTACGGCGAAACATGTAGGTTGTTAACCTCAAACAACATTTGGATTACTTGACGAGGTATAGTACCATTATTATAGTTATATAAAGTAATCCAGGGGCCATCAACATGGAATTTAATGAAAATAATACTGAGGAAAATGAACACACCAGCTTCTAGTTTGGTGTGGCGCAAGTACATAGGGACGGAGCTCTACTCACATTACAGCACGTTAAAACATGTCAGTTGTAGTTTACTGTGGGTCTATACTGTTACAGTACAGTAGACATTCCGATCTCAACACTACTCTATAAACTATATAGGACCACATTTAATAATTGACATACCACTGTGTATACTGCTTTTGTAAAATTGATGTACCTCTCTGTATTCAACCACTGTATGGTTAACCACTTGGTATTCTTTCCTGTATATTGCTACTGTATATAGTGGCGTCCCCATCTTAAATAATTGATAATTGATAATTGATAATTGATAACTGTATTGCATAATTCAATGACTGACATACACCTATAGCTCGCACAACACCTTATTGTATTAGTATTATCTATAGAAAGCAGTTGCTACTGCTTTACACCTTACAAAGCCTCCCTGAAAGCTACTATTGTGTAGTTGACAAACAGCTATATATTACTCTGTATACTGCTACTGTATAATAACGCTCTATACACTTATACTGATACTACTGTATGCCTACATCTTACAATCTGCTCTTAGTGCTACTGTTGCTTGGTTGACAAATTATTCCTGAATTCTACTATAGTATGGTTGTCAAACCGCCTTGCATACTACCCTGTATCTGTATACCGCTACTAACGTTTGTATTGAGCTATACTGTATAGGTAGTGCTTTTTGTTCATATACCACAGAATGGTGATAGCACATTATAATTACGGTGATATCTGTTGGCAAGAAACAAACAAGTGTTATCATTTTCTGGTGAAGGGAGATGTAGTTGTGATGTAGAAGATTATGTCGACATTTTCAGGCCACATTGTTCAGTCTCAGAGCAGATTTCAAGATGGAAAATGAGAATAACAACAATTTTGAATCAGAAATATTGTCTCTCAATGCTTATGTACGGTACCATTTTTTTCAATGTTGTAATTTGTTTAACTAAATAATTAAAGAACAAATTTCCTGTTTTTTTTTTACTTTGGCTTCACGATAAAAAATCTTACCAGCTTCGTGATCTCATTTTGTTTACCATAAATTTTATATTCTAACTTATAAAAACAAGCTGATTTTCTTTGTTTGAAAACAAATATACCAGTAAAGTTTATTGCTGAACAAAAGCATTTTAGCAACAAACCGTCATGCTATACCAAACAACGGAATAATTCAAACAGCCTTTTTACTTCCCAGCCTTTTAGAATAATATATTATTGCTGGTAATTTTACTCGTATAACTATTAAATTACTAACCCAGAAAGTGGTGTTTTACCAAATGAGCACAATATAGTTTCCAGTGATTTTGATGCAAGTAGGTACAGTAGGTAAAGCTTGTCGGGTGAGTTACGTATAATAGTTTACATCATAGTATACACAGAACACAGAACAGATTTGAATTTGAACAACTAAACACATTTTTATTTAAAAAATATAAATAATAATTTTTTTGTATTTCAGAGAATAAAAAAGGCCTACGTTTAGATGGCTTTATTAAAAATTGAATAAATGTTAATGGTACAGTTTGTATAGGTTTTGACATATTCTTTGCTTGGAAGTGAATTCTTTTATAGAGTGACAAGTTTCACTCGTAGAAATACTTTCCTCGTATTCAGAATTTAATTGTTTTGTTGTTAATAGTTCTTTAGAAACTACTATCTTGCGGATTACAGAGTGTATCCTTCTAAAGATTCAAATCACTACTCATTCAATACTGATACTATTCTTGACAGTGGCAGATCTAGTACAGTCACAAGGGGGGGGGCGAATCAGGGCATCTGGGGGTTCGGGGGTACCCCCCGAAAAATGTGTGTAAACTAAGTCTCCAAAATGGCAGTTTTATACCATTTCTTTGTCCAAAGTTGGTGTGACAAATTATTTTACGCAATGTGTATGCACTACTGTATTACATGCAGTAAAAAATATATGTTATATGTACCTTCTTTGCTAATTTAGACAAACTGACTAACATAGCCTTTTATCATTTTGCCACTTGTAAACATGGAATAATTTAACTCACACCTGTTTACAGATTTATCATGCAGCAAGTTTGTGCTAATTGTTTTGACTTAATGTGGAATTTCACAATGTTTGCGATCATAATGTATCTTCAGGTGTAGGTTAGTTATTACAACACTCTCAAGATGGCACTTGTCAATTGAAGTGATTCACACTACACGCATTTTGCATTGTTGCGGTGGACGAGTTTATAAGCTGAGGAGGGGGTGGTTACCTCGTCAACAGCATAGCATTGTTGTAATCAATTGCAGAACTGACCATTTACAGTACTCCTGCTGAGTACAGTACTCCATCATACACACAAGTATTTTCCTACACAAATATTTTCAAAACAATACAATTGCTATTCTTGGTACAACAAAAACTAATTGAACTAGTTGGGATGATTGATGCTTCTAGGTGTCACACGGGGTAACTCACTAAGGATTACCTCCCTTTGGAGGCATTTGAGAAATAATTGATGAACATGATATTAAAACAATTAAGAATGTCTAGTTTATACATAGTCAACGTTACTAATCAACAATCAATAACACATGACGTATCAGTAGTGTTTTTGATACAAAAGATGAATTGACCAGTACATTGTTTTGACTTTTGCAGACAAGCAGCACAGCGTCCAGTCCTACCACACAGTCATTGCCTCTACTGTCCAACTGCCGTGAGATGCTTGATGAGAGACTGCAGGTACAGTGGGAGAAGCAAGGTGACCATGTAGAGATACAACTGGCAGGACGTATACGGGAGGACCAATACCTGGCTTTCGGCATTAGTGGGGAGAATGGCAGGTGAGATACAAAATTAACATGGACATTCAGTACTCTTATTAGTATTAGAATAGATCGAGTATCAATCAAATTAACCTAAGCTAAGAGTGGAAGCAGGATGAGAAGAAGAGGAGTGACAAGTTAGAAGTAGATGTAGACTACTAAGAAGAAAAAACAAACCAACGAGATGTCATCCAAACCAATAATAGATACACCAATTATACATTGCTAAGAAATTAGAGAATACAGGTACCTATACCAAGATGTAGGAATGGTGAGAGAACAGTAAAAAAAGTACACTTCGAGTTTTTTTTCACACAGGCTTAGATTGTCATTTCATGACCCTAATTCTCCCCAAAGAGAAGGATTAACAAGGAGGAAAACATTCTTAAGCTAGTCCTGAACCAAAACCTGACACAAGCTTTGACCCCTCCTCACTGCAATCCGCTATTCCTCAAATTCCTTCCTAAAATTAGTATTTGTACAGATATTTTTTTTGTCCTAGGACACTAGGCACAAGCCCGGAATTGTTTTTCACATTACTTCAGGCTAAATCTATGGGTAACGGCATTATCACTTAGATAAAATCCATTGGTGATTTGGCGGGATTTGAACCCGGGACCCAAGGAACAGGAGTCCCGCGCTCTAATCACTAGACCAGCTCGCTCCCCCGATTTAATTTGCACAGATATAGCACATAAGAGTTTTAAAATCGCTTTAAAAGTATTCTCTGTAGAAAGAGGCTGTGAAAAGACATTTCACATTACTTCACCCTCTTAAAGTCAACGAAACTTGTACATGTTTTTTTATGTTTCAAGGTTTAAAAAACTCTACCTCCCATTGCATTAATTTTGATCATGATCTTCTACAGGCCAGCAATGGTTGGAGCAGATGTAGCTGTTGTGTACTACAACATAGATCAGAAGACCTTCCACGCCGTCGACTACTACATCACTGCCTCGTCTCAATGTGATGGCAAGAACGGGGTTTGTCCAGACGAGAGGTTAGGAGGCCGCAATGACATCACACTCATCTCAGGGGAGCGCAAGAACGGAGTCACAAGTGTCAAGTTCCGAAGACCACTGCAGACAAACGAGCCGATCAATGACAGACCGATCCCCAGCGAGGGAGAGGTATCAATCATTGCTGCCATTGGTCCTCTCAACTCTCGCAAGGAGGCTAACGCTCATGACTTTAGGGACAGAACTTTAGGTAAGGTTACTGAAAAAAGAGTAGTTTAAAGAAAATTGCTAATAAATAATGAGAAGATAGGTATTTTAGGTAACAGTTAGGAATCAGCTGGATTTATATAAGATTAAATGAAGTACCTAGTTTTTTGAATATTTTAGTGGGAGTCCTTGATAAATGTGAATAATTTACATTTATATTTTTTCTTATCACGAGGGAAACTTCTAACAACTGACAGCATCATGAAAAGTAACAAGATTCATCAAAATAAATTTATGTATGTGAAACGTTTTTTGTTACTTTAATCAAATTGTGTTCAATTTGTTTCAAATAAACTTGCAAACAACTCAACAACAACTAAACAACTTTTCTTTCTGGAAAGTCCATTATTAGGCCCCTGAATATATGGTTTGACCTAGAAATAATTACAACACAAATGAAACCATTGTAGTTTGATAGTGAAAAGTATTGTGAATAACATATCAAAAGTCTCCAAAAATATCTTTGGTGGAACACCACCATTTTTCCAAAATGGCGGCCAAATCCAGTAGTTTTTTGCTTTTTATTGAAATTCTGACTTTCCAGTTAATATTGGTGAAAAGTCGTAAATACATTTCATTTTCCTCCTGAAATTACCTTTAAAATGATACCAAATACATGTACGTACAACCAAAAATAAACCCCGCAGAAATAATCAAATATTTCAAATAAAAGTTTTCCAATAAATTAATGTAATAAGTTAGTCCAAGCAAACTAATAAAACAGACACAGGGATCGTATAAAAATTTGCAAGTAAACGTTTTATGGTTTTATTTTTATTTTTGTGGTGTGCAGAGTGACATATCAAAAGTTTCAAAAAATCAGTCCACGGGAAACCCCTAAATTAATTATATTAAATGGCGGCTTTTCCCAATATTGGACAAATTTTGCAGAAAGAGATACCGAATACTTTTTTGCACATTGTTCGAGATATTGACTTGGGACCACCGCCAATATTTATTGGGTCGTTAGTACTATACTTCATTTTGATAGGGGACTCGTTTTTGGCCACCATCTTGGATCCGCCATATTGGACATATATTTTTTTAATGTAATGATAGTGTTGTGACACATCATTTCAAACCACATTCTTATACTGATTTCAATGCTGAAATCCGTTTTTAAATATCTTTTTTCGTTTAGAAGATATGTTCAAACGAAAACTCTCCCCATACATTTCTTATGGACGTTTCGTAGTTTGATATTTTTTTCAGATTATTTTTCTTATATATCCAGTTCTTATTTACGGTTGCAGTTCGTTCTGGCCTTAAAATATTCAGTATTGTAAGGGCTTCCATTTGAGCTCTTGAGCATTAAAATCAGACAAGTTAAAGACCAGCTAAGAACCTCAGAACAATATCAATTTTAACTTTTTAGAAATAAATTTTTATTAAAAGATTTATAACTCGGGTTGTTAATACGTCACCAAGTTCTTTCTGGTCTCAAATTACTCAGTAAATGTTTGGCTTTGATTTAATTAACTATTAAACAAAATCTGACAATTTTAAAATGAGTCATGGATCTTAATTTAACATAAAAATGTATTTATTTTTAAATTTGTCTTTAGTTAAGTACGTATATCCCCAATTCTAAATCACTCCCAAAACTCTTTATAGTCTTAAATAATTCGTAACATTATGACTTTTATTTTAGCTATGGTTTTATTTAGAAGTGATTTTATTTATTTTTTGCTTTTTCTTCAATGACAATCTAACAAATATAAGTACCGGTACTACAAATCATTTTGTTTCCAGATGATATACGTATTGACTTCAGCTCAAGAAACGATCACGCTTGCACCAACTCTTTATTCAACCTCCCTGACGAGGATGGTGTGATGCAATGGAAGCCGGAGGTCATCATCGGTGAGACAACGTTCTCTGTGCGGATAGGCCCGACTGGAGGAAAGCGTGGCTATACACCCATCACTGGTCATCCGTCTTGGGGAATTGCATGGTGGGTCAACGATAAGCTGATCCCTGAGCTCTATGTTGAAAGAGGCCAAACGTACACTTTTATTGTGGAAGGAGGTAAGTTAAATCATTGACAAAAAGAATTAATTATAGACCGTCAGCTGTGCTGCGGTTACCATAGCTTCTGGCGCACACCGCTTGGAGCGCCATGTATTTACGGCGTACGCGCTACGTAAACTACAGCGGTGTGCGCCGGAACCTATGGTAACCATGGTAACCGCAGCACGGCTGACAGTCTATATTTAATTCTTTTTGTCTATGGTTAAATAGATTTGTGATTACAAAAGCATGATATAACGTTAGGAAAAGATTACACTTTACTCCAATAACTTGTTAATTGTCTAAATAAAGTTTACCTAAGACCGTTTTTTAAAGTAGCCGATTCAGTTCAGTTCTTGAATTGAAAAAGTTTCACATAACAGCATTGTTTACCTTCATAACAGCATAGTTTTACTCATAACAACACGGGTAACGGACCAATTAGGTTCAAGGATTGAGGGAGAAGAAGTAAAATTGTAATGATTCAAACTTCAACTAATCAGCTGTTCAGGGTAATTTAATTGTTGAGTTGTGCAATTAATGTTCGGTACAATGTTTCATTGCATCTCTGTCAGTGGCATTTAGAGGTTAAAAGAAAAAATATAACTCTCATTAGAAGTTATAGTAGTAATTTTTAGTAATTAAAACACTGTCGTAAGTAAAGTAGTGTACGCAACTCAAACTCACGTAAAAATTGTTAACGACACTATAGAAGTTTTTAAGACACTCGGCAGGACTCGTACCATAAATTTTCTACTCGTGTCGTTAACACTATCTTTACGCAATCGCTTCGTAAACTATTATAAGCACAAGTTTTAATTCAAGTTCGTTAAGAATGTGATCAGCTGTTGTTTACTTCTGAGTATTCAAGAGAAAAAAGTACAGTTGTCTAAAGCCAAGAGCCTTGGTGTTGCCATGATGATTATGTTGACAGCTACTTTCCTTAGATTTTTAAATAGTACCCAACATTAAAAAAAATAAATGTTAAGAATTTTTTTCAAGAAAATCTAAAATTACTATTAAGAATTACTACCTTTCAGAATTTTTACGTCCCAAGCAGCTTAATATGAAAATTTGAAACAAATTAAACTCTAAGTAATTATGAATATTATAAACCCATGTACTGTATACAAAAGGCTGATCCATGATTATTAATGTATTCCAACTGTTAACACAGCCATAAATGCTATGCAAATCTAAAGTTTTGCAATGTATGCATGGCCATTCACCGACATGAACCCATCAGTTTGTTAGTTGGAGACAAGAGTTTTTCTATCTTTTGATTTTTGGTCATGAGTAAAGATAGGTACTTTTTACTATAGTACAAAAATTCCTCCTTTCCCCTTGTGATAGTGAATAAAACTCTTTTTATTAATATGAAAACATATTAAAAATTGATAGTATTAAATATTGGTGATGTTTTTATTTTAAATTGTATTATTAATAGTTTACTAGTGGTTGCCTCGTGGACGAAAATTTTACCAACAATATGGATTGTGCAAACTTATCTATTTTCACCCCGCATGCTGTAAATAAAACATGTGATTGGAGTTTCTTACATTTGTTTTGATTTTCTGTTTATATTTCGTTGTTATTTTGTCACCAGCATGGCAACCCATAAGGCCCATGTTATTTAATTTTTATTTTAAATTAATTTTTTGTGCTTATTTTTGAGCATATTTTAATTTATAAAGGGATTCTGCACATCTACATGCAAATATAAATGTCTTTCTAACATTATGTGTAGATTTTCCCCGCGATGCACAAGATCTGAGAATAAAGGGTTTTAAAGAAACATATGCTTTTCTATTAATATATAGATGACTTTTTTTGATTATTTTCTTTTTTTGCCCTTTTAACTTAAAGGTTTATTCAGTGATTTAATTATTGTATTCCTACTTGTAAAATCCCCCATAGGTTGTATCTTGACTCTCAGGTGCAGCTCATGCCAAGTGTATAATTCAACATTTGTTGTAAAGAAAACTGGTAATAGATAGTTGTAAGTGGATTTTTGGTTATGGTATGTTAAACCTTGCACTCAATATCAGCCCAATAGAGCTGAAATTGTTTAAATCATGTCTTTCTTTTGAACCTTTGTAGGCTGTTGACAAACAACGTGATGGATCCTGTAACACCCAACAGGAAAGAAGGAGAGTATATTCTGCTTGTTATTTTGGTTCTAGAAGAAGTATTTTGTCTAGGCTATTTTGTATAATTACTTTACTCGCATTAAAATAACACTCTGGTACTTCTGCAACTTAAAAAAAATATGTTTAACCTTAAGTGAATCTTGATCATAAATCTAGCAGCTTTGAGTAAACGTATTGTTTGAATGCAGGCAATGATGCCACAAATCCTGCTCGCTATCACCCGTTCTACATCACCGACAGCAGTGAAGGAGGCTTTGGACAGAAAACTGAAGAGGAGCAGCGGCGTCAAAGGATATTTGCCGGAGTCAGATATGATTCTGAGGGTTATCCTTACCCTACAGCTGGTAAATAAAAAAAAATATATATAAAAAAACTAGTCAAAAAATAAGGATTTCCAGTTTAAACAGTTGGAGTAGAATGAGTAGTTAACAAGAAGGTAAAAACATTGACTGTCAATATATCTAGACATTGCATCCCCATGTTAAAGCTGTCAGCTGCGTTTAAATCAAAATGAATGTAGCTGAAGTGAGCCACCGACAGATTGCGCTTATGTAATTCACTGTGTTCTGATGATTATGTAGGTTTTTAAACCAAGTCAAGCTAATAGGAGCTGTGGCACCTGTTATGTCCCATCAACAATCTCGGTAACAAATGGTAAGGAAGAAAATTGAATTTTAGACACTAAGCACAATCTATGACTTGGCTCAATAAATACATACTTTTTTAATTACAAAATATTGGTGACAGCTGGTTCATAGATGGGATGCCTACTTAAGTATAAAAAAGTCAATGGTAATAGATTGTATGATTGCTGTTCATTTAACTAAGCTTTTTTCATTCATTTCAATCCTGCATATGTTACTAAATACTAGCTCTAGGTAAAAACTGTTTTTGATTTTGATTACTCCTTTTCATTGGGTTCATCCTCTCCCATTCGTTTCAGCTGGCCGTTACTGTGAATGGGCACACAAGACTGTTGACAAGTCATTGGAAACTCCAACATTTGCAGAGTTTTTCCAAACCCTGCGACTGATGTGTGATGATGGAGACCCTGCCTACCTCAACTGGACAGTGGCTGAGGAGACTCCAAACTTGCTATACTATCAGGTACAGTCAGACAATATGTGTTTCTAAGGAAGATTCGATAGCAAAGTAGTCATGTGGCAGACTAGATTATACAAGCATAATGTCTCCAGGGCAAATTCCACAAGAGATTTATTTAAATGTATATTGACCTACCTTTATATAATCATAAATTAAATGGGAAAATTTCAAAAAAAAAAACTACTTATTACTCGGGTATCCTAAATCTTAAAAAAAGATTAAACTCTGTAGGTGTAAGGATTTCAGAATCACATTTTACAACAAAATTATGATTTTTATGGCTATTGTTTTTCTCTCTTTGGCTATCTGCAGAGCAGTAACTACTACAATTATACTCCAGTTTACAATGGTAGTGTCTTTACTTCTCCAAAAACGGCTGACGAGGTCAAATTGTCAACACAAAGCACTAACATGATCTTGAGGGTCAAAACATGACAATAATGTATTATTAAGAGTTTTATACAGGGCTACTTTTAGTAAATAGGCCCATGGGCATAAGAGGTTTTAGGTTTGTTACGTGTCGCAAGAAAGAGAAAAATTCCCCCACAAGGAATGGGGTAGGGGGACGCAAATGTCTCTTGGGCCCATAGCACATCAAATGCAAACCGGGTCTCGGTAGTGTAGTCTTAGCATATTAATTAAAGAAGTGGCATCGTACTATTTATCATATTAACAGATATTTTATCTATTATGTATATATCATGAGTGTGTCTTTTGAAACAGTACCACTCTTGCATTTGGATCATAAATTTCATTTCTCAAATTGTTGTTGCTTTTGATATACGAAATAATTGAAGAAGTGTACATACTTTTCTGACAGTTACTACAAGCTGTTTGTTTTCAAAATATGATATGTTTTTATTGTTGCCGCAGTGTTACACTCATCAGAACCTTGGCTGGAAGATCCATGTTGTAGACGCAGGCTACATTGCCTCTCGTAATGGCACAGCCGTCGCTACCTCCCCCCTCTCTCCCCTCACCGTGCTCCTGCCCTCTCTCGCCCTGTTCTCTACCTCCAGGACATTGTTCTACAGATGAATCTCAAATATCATTATACTGCCCGTAATCCATCAACAACAGTATTAATACTTGAATTTATTCCAAATCCAAGTATACCACACAATGGCCTTCCCCAGTTTACAAAAGTTGTTGGGTTGGTCCAATAATTGACATTATTGAGAGAAAAAATTGCAATATAAAATTGGTTTGGTTTTTATAAGAATTTAGTGGTCTTACGGTTTGTAAAATTATTGTAATGTGGCATTCCATCTGTTTCTACCAGTTGTAGCCAGTTTTCTTACTCAAAGAGAAAAAAGCTTAATAGACAGAGAGTGTAAAGCCATAACACTTATATTTCCTCTTTCAGTTTTCTACCTATAATTATTAATTATTGTTGATAAAGAAATAAAAGATACTTTAATTTACAATAAGGTGACTTTTCAGTTAGGTATGACTAATAATCTGGTTTGTAAAAAAAACCCTAAAACAATTTTTTACAATAACTTCTTGGTGGCTCAGTTACAGTTCTTTTTTATTCTAGAACTGGCTACGACTTGCTTATCTTTGGGACAAAATGCCAAAGTCATTGTAGTGTATCTTACCCAACATTTGTTGTGGATTTAGTAAAATTCAGATACATTCAAGCATGTATGAAATTCTGATTTGAGTAGATGGGGTTTAATAAACCACAGTTCAAAACAATAATTTACTTATTTTCGATGGTTCAACGCAAGTGCAAAACAAACTAAATTCAACAATAGTTTCAATTTCTAATAACCTTTTTTATGAGGTTGTTTCTTGACAATTTTCAAATACGATTCAGGCATTGTAAGCACATAAAAAAAAACTTGTTTTGATGGATAACGGAGCAGTTAGGAGACCTAAATGAGGTGAGCAACAATGAGAGAATATCGGTGCAAAACATATCAGAGTGAAACTTAGTGTAAAGGAAGTGGCGTTGTTGGTGTTTGTATTTAATGAATATTTGTAAATATTTCTCTTCACCAGTTGTCATGTCATTCTCAAACTTGATATGATCATTTTAAGGCAGAGTGTTTATAGTTATATAGGTTTTAACGATGCACAAGTCAATTTATTGAAATAACAGAGGTGATTACGATAAGTACGCAGGAGTCTATCATAATAACTTAAATGTTTAGATATCATCAGTAGGTTTATCCTATTATATAAAGCAGGAGAAGGGATTTGAATTGAACAGAATTAAGTTACTACTAATTCTAATTATTTTTTATGATGTGAAAATATATTGACACTTTGAAATATCATTACGATACAACTGATTATTGTGATAATTTTCCACAGAAAACTTAAAAATACTATTTCGAATGCAGAGTTGAATACGTTGAGATGGTATTTATTAATTTTTACGAACATTAAGATGACTTTATCAAACATTAAGCTGGATGTTGATCCAGTTTCAAAAGTCAAGAAGGACACAACAGCATAATATAATTGCTGAGGATTAATATAGATTACATGGTCCCAAAGATGTACTGATTTGACTATTACTTTAAGTAAATTCTGTTAAAAGTTAAAATATACTTATACGTCGACCTACCATTACACCTTGCAATTACTCATGTTTATGAAACTAATAACTGTCTATCCAATTAATTCAGTGATTCTGTAATTCATAGGAAACACTTTCTTGAAATATTCAATACGACTATGTTAGGTACATATTTTATGTTTGATTTGATTATTTTAAACCAATGTTGTGTTAGAATCAAGACGTATGACATTGGTGAAGTACAGTTAGGTTCTTAGATTTATTGCAATGTGTATTGTTGTTGTGAATTTTTAAGGACAACACATGAGTATGTGAGTAAAGTATCTTACATGCAAAACATTAAAACTTTTGGGTTTGGTATGAACTCTTGTTCCATATTACTATAGTTTATTTTTTTACAAAATTATTTACATTCATCTACTCTATGCTCTTTGTGTTTAAGCTAACTACAGCGTACATAAATAAATAATTCTATCTATTAAAGTATCTTCACGTTGATAATAATTTGAAATTGAACAGCCTTGACACCTTTAATCAATTATATGTGAACATCTACTTACCTAGGTATGCCAGAACGTATCAAAAGTAGCCATTTTCAATAGTCATAGTCATTGGAAAATGACTACGTTTGACACCTTCTGGAATACCTAGGTAAGTAGATTTTTACATATAATTTGACAATAAATGAAGAATTATAGAAACACACCAATAATATTAAAATTTGACGCAAGACATTATTTTTACTGTGGTTGATTATTTAAAAGACTCTTGTTCAACAAGTTTACATAAGTTCGATATTAATTTGTACACATTTTTTCAATGTTCCTGTGGTTATTATAGTTTTAATTTTTTAAATATCAAATGAATCCTACAAAAACATCTCTGCAGAAGAACTAATTGTTAGAATTTCATGCTAATCACATTTCCAAAATACAATTAAAACTGTATGTCAATTTTACACTCTGCCTTAAAATCTTCTAATAGATTTATATGAGTCTGTTGTACATAGTGTAATGTTGGAGTAAAACATTTGCAAACATTTTTATTCCAACCGAGAAGTTAAGCACAACTTTAGGTCCTAAATTAATTAAGTATAAGGTAAGATAACAAATGACAATAACTTTGTGATAAGCTCACAAAACCACACAACTCTGACAATAACGTATGACTGTTTGTTGATATATTATATTTTTAATAGATACAACTGTTGATCATTGTTAGAGATTTAAATTGTTTTATTTGAATAATAAATCATAGTACCGTATTCTTTTTTTACTTGTGCTGTTAAACGACATCTTCTCAGAATAACATTCATCTAGTAAATTTCTTCAGATTTCTTTGTCAAATCTGGTGCTTATTGAATGTAATGTTAATCTATTAAAAATTAGAACTACATATTGACTCAGTTGTATGCATTTGGATTGAGTGCAAAAATTGCGTCAGTATTTGAATCCTATCAATCATTTTATATAGGTAATTGGTCTAAAAACTCATAAATGTCTACAAATAGGATCTTGCTCAAACTATAAACAAACCATCCCAGTAGAATAGAATTGTGAGACGAGGTAATTTAACAAGCAAGCAAGCAAACAAACAACTTTAAAAAAAGCTCAAGTTTCAAATCCCTCTGATTTAGGTTTTTATTGGCAGTTCCATGAATATTCAATTTTAAAAACGACAACCATTTAATAAGTTTTTGAGTTAGTCAAAAACATTAAATGTTGACTATTTCAAGTCACATACTTAGCTTTTCTTAGGTTTAAATGTCAAACTGTTTTCGTATCCATAAAAAGTATAACAAATTTGGAATAATTTCATTTTGTGTGTTTTATTGACATTGGCTCTCTTAGTCGAAACCTAGCAGAAAAATGTTTGTTAACTCCCATTTGATTACTAATAATGCAACATTTTAGTAAATCATTCATCCTGGAATTACAAAATGTAACAATAAATAATGATAAAAGTTAGTTTACCAATGAAGAACAAGCGAGTCAATGTAATTTATAACACAATATGTGCTCTCCCTTACCATATTTTATAAAATTATATATGTAACGTTTTTGTCTTAGGTTTTGCCAGTAGTATAAAATCAGCTAGTACATGTAAATAATTCATTACAATATTGAATAATAATGCATATCTCCTATTATCAAATACGCCATCATGGAATCTTATCAAAATGTTTACAAAATATTCAATTTTATTAATTTTTACTAATGACCCGTGTGACAGTGTAAACAACTATTTGACAACAAATTCAAACAAAGAAATAAATTAATTATATTGGGACTTTACGGTTTTCTAGAAAACTAATAAAAAAAATAACTATTCTCATAATGTAACAGGAGAGTTTTGCAGAGTCGTAAAGAGATTTTAGGTGTGGAAATAAAACAGAAACCTTCCCTGATGGTATAGGTTATATAGACAAATTTATCAAAGTATCATCAGACCAGTGGAACAGTTTGCTAAAGCATGAACCAGCCTATACAGGGTGTCCAGTAAGTAAAGTGCAAAATTTTAGGACGGATCTATACAACTGCAATACCATGAATGATATTTACTCAGCATGTACAGTATTTTAAAGTTCAAGAGACCGGTCTCAGGAAAAAATGTAGCGAGTCTCCAACTAAACATTTTAAACCGTGGCCTTTAAGCTTTTAAAATCAAATCCTATGAAAAGATATAGTTCAATGGAAACTTTTTTTGCAATGTGTCAAATTTAAAGCACTTTAAAATCCAAATGTCTTATAAAATAACTTTTAATAGATTCACTTTAATTGAAAAATAAGTTGATAAATAAACTAGTTACAATATAGTCTACAATATTAATATCAAATTTTAAATGGAGGCAATTTTCTATGTTTACAGCATTTGAAATCTTAAAGGCACTTAAATGAGAAAATAGGATGATGAAAGGAGCTATTTCCACTGAACATAGCATGGCAATTTTAAAGTATGAACTTCAAGTATTCCTTATGTAACCAGGAGCTGTTGCAATTAAAGTACATAAAATATCTGCTCAATTAAATTTAACAAAACTATTTATAGATCCCAAGATTTTTAAATTTTGTAAGATCATATTTTTCAAGCAAAAAATAAAGACAGTGTGTGCTAAGAATATTTTTTACCTGGAATGATGTTTGGATATAAGTGTATTTTTCAGTTAAGGATTTGTAGAAGAGTACTCAATTCAATTTTTGCGCTGAATCCAAAATTATTTTAACTTGTGTAGATTGTAGTTGTACATGAACATTTATTTAGTGTAAGGTAATAGGTAAGGTACAAAGTAGTTAAAATGAGATTTCATGATGTTGGGACAGTAAAGCTTCTTAAATTCTATATATGAAGCATATCTTGGTATACATTGAGTTTAAATTATGTACTGTAATATCTACGCCCAACTTAAATATAAGTAAGAGAGGTGTCAGTAATTGTTATTATCTAAAAACTTGTACATGTACGAGACGAATAGTGAGAAATTGTGATTGTAATAATATATATTTAGTAGTAAAAGACAAACCAATACCTATTTACAAATCAATTTCATATCTTACACAACTTAGATTTATTATGACAATAATACTTTGTAAGTTAAATATTAAATTTGAATAACAATGTGAGGCCTAAAATGTATGACCTTGACAAATTAGTGAGAATTTTTTACAATATAAGAATATATTTATAGACTAAGATCATATTATACATACACGATTCATTTCAAATAAGTTGTATATCGTTTTATAAAACTTTATCAAATCAGTATAGTTTGGACAGTAAATGGATTAACTTTACATTGTAAATTTGTAAGTATGTTTATCTATCTATTCAAAGTCTGTCTTTATCAACCTCATAGCACATAATCATACATTTAGGATATGTTTCACATTGAGACGTGAAACTTTCATAGGTAATATCAACAAAGGTTATGTGCAGTCATACAGTTTTCTTTGAACTTATGATTGCGGGGACGAGCTCCAAGTAACATGAGTTGAGTGCCTTCTGAGATGTTTTCAGTTGCTCCAAGATCAGATCGCTTGTTTAGGTGTATCTGTCAGTATATAAGATAATAATGTGTCATGACTCAAGAGCCTGACTTCATTTGGTCCGAAAAACTGTTATGCTTGTTAACCCTGTGAATAATTGTTACTGGGAGTAAAAATCCTCCATTTTCTTAACATGGTCTAACGTCTTTGACCAATCTACTGATTAGGTTGATATTTGCTGGTTTTTTGGTCGATTCCAACAATTGTGTTTGGTTTTTTAAAAGGAATAAGAATCAGACACACGTTAGACGGATGTAGGTAAGGGTTTGCGATTCGGATGTTTTCAGCTCACTGGACCAAATGAAGATCAAATTCTATCTTTGGCTTTTATGTCATTGATGTAACGATTGGTGAGATTAAATGACAATAATTTTAAAGTAGGACTAGTTTTAAGGTACGCACTTATATTTTTAGGTGTGATTTAGTATGAATTTTGAAGCATATTAATCACATAATGCTACTTTATATTTTTAATATTGCAAACTGTTTTAAGTCAAAATGAAAATTGTATTAGAAAACTGCTTATGTGTGTCAAATTTATCGGTAGTTTACCAGTCTGACCTCATATCGTTGTAAGCTCTATCTTTGATAGAGGTGCTATTATCAGCTTTCATGTATACTGTAGAATCAGCACTTGTTTCTATTCTTTGTTCAGATATTTTATTTTGATTGGGGAACAGACACAAGAATAAATTTTATTTTTTACGATGATTTATATCAAAACTGATAAAAAAATATTAATGCCTTTAAGCATATCCATTGAAAGGCATGATTTAACATGATTGTGGGATATGATTAGTGCTTTGCTTGGAGGACATTTTTGTAATGAAGTAAAGTCAAACGTTTTTAAGGGAAGGCGATCCAAACCCAATAAATAGTTTGTGGATGTGTCGGGAATTGATGGAACCTGTCCCTCCCGCACCGAAGTACGAACTCTAACTAGGCAACACATGTCAACTGCTTCCCTCGATATAATTTAACATTCTTTTCAAAATGGCGCTGGCATGGACACAGCCAGATAAATTTATGTTTTACTATAAATAGATTTACCAAGCCAAGAAAAAAATATATCTTCTTGGTAATGAATGGATATTAAATTAAAGGGTTCCACCAATACTTTTTAACATGTTTTTTCAACCGAAGCTAAAAACTGTTTAACAAACTTTTAAAAATATATGTATTTTTCATTCCAAGAGAATACAAATTGATCATAAATTGATAAATTTATGAAAAAAAATGTTAGGTTGAGTATATTTTATGAATAGAATTCAAGTTTAAGCTAGATTTAAGATTTTTGAAATAAAAAAAATAAATTTTCAATTCTCAAATGTTTACCAATGTGCAAAGTAGTTTGAATTTTCTGACACTGTTGATTTTTTATTTTAATCATTAGAAGTGCTTTTGTTTGTATGTATATAAAGTCAGAGAGTTAGCAGAGTTTTCTATTGTATAAAAATCAAAATATTTACTTTTTCAATTACTGTTCCTACAATGTATTCAACTCACAAATCCATCATATTGTGTAACTATGTAAATAATGTTAGTGTAGCTTATAATAATTTACCACCTTTATTATCATTTAAACCTTTATTTACAATTTTTGCACTGAATTTTATACTTTTTGCACACACTAAAATGTATCGATGTCGACACACACCTCTCCTTCAGAAACTTTTCATTACATTTTTACTATTATAGCCTCGTAATATTTTGATGTCTACAAATATATACTAGTTCAAAACACGTTTTTAGAATTTAATTTAGCCCCAACTTAGCACAGTTGTAATACGCTCATTTTCAGTCAAAATTTCTTTTGAAATTTATCAATCAATAGGAAGCTTCATTCAATGTAATTGTATATTTTGTAAACTCTAAACATATGAATGTTACTATCCATCCATGTAATTTCATTATCTATGTGAGAAGACAATAAATCTGATTTACTATTGTTCTTTGTTTTCATCTCATTCCATAGCTCATCACATATCTTTGTAGCTAGTCCTCAATAGTGGAGCGGATTCTGTTCTCATTACTTCAAAACTCTCCGAGCTTCTGTCTAAGTTGTTCGAGACCTGTTGACATTTTGGAATATTCCCAGAGTTCCTTTCAATGAGACTTGTAACAGATGTTTTTACTGCACATTTTAAGTTCAATTTGATATTGTTTGTTAAGCCACTCAGTTCACTTCTGGATGATTTTAATTGATTAGCATAGTTTAAATCACTTTCTTGATAATTTTCTAACTTGCCCTTTTCTTTTTCTTGTTTATAATGGCAAAAATCAGACCTTGTGGCTAAACACTTTAGTTTGTTTTTATCGGCTTTCTGATGAAAATATTTTTCTTTAAGGCCATTTAATTCCAGTTTTAGCATACAGTTGTCGTAAGCTAAGCGGGCATTACGGTCAGCTATCTGAAAGTTAATACTCCATGAAGCCTATATAACGTTAAGTTTTAGTAAAACGCTAGCCCCCTTGCTTAGCAGCCCTTGTGAATTTTCTACATACAAAATTGTATTGGTCCTTACACACAAATAATTTTTGATATACTTAAGTTTTACAACAACAATCTGGTCTAAACAAGTTATGAAAAAATATCCATTATTATTTGATATTCCAAAGATCTTGCGTTTTATGAATATAATTTTTTCATTTGGGCTATATTTATACGGCACCAGGGTGAACATAATAGAACTACAGAATAGCTTTGTCACTAAGATCAGCTGGTTCTTTGTCCATAGGCACTTACGAGTATAAGCCCGATGATAAAGGACACTGGGCCCAACGGCCAGCTAGAGGGTGGGGCAGGGGGGGCCAAAGCCGCGGTCAAGTGTAAAATATTTTCTGTACATGTAATCTGCTATAGTCAAAAATTTTAGTATGGTTTTCAAGTTCATCAAGTAATTTTTTACTTTAATTCAATTCTTGACTAAGTTGCAACTGTGAGCACGAGAATTAGTCAAACTATCAAGGATTGTTATGTTGTGTTGCTCTTAAGATCAATTAGATATGGATTGTTATTTGTATAAAAATGGCACGGAGGCGGCTGGATACTAAATCAGGAAAATAGGGGGCCCGGGAACAGGGGCTCAGCCCAGGGGCCCGAGATGGCTTTTGCCGGTAGGGCCCAGATTTGAACCGTCAAAAAGGTGCTCACTTTAGTCAAAAGATAAAATTCACAACCTCTTCTTTGCTGGATAAGATATATCCACACAGCTATGTCATAAAACCATCTTTGTGTACCAATGAAACTACGCTAAGACATATATTGTACTATATTGTTATATTGTGCAACTAACGTTAGTAACATGTAACAATAACTAACTACAGCTGCAGCAGTAATAGTTTGGATCTTAGTCAAAGACAAAAAAATACTCAAAAAATATTTAAGTTTTAAAACGTTGAATTGTAAGGTTTTAGAAATATGATTTGATTTGAAAACTTTGTATTGCAAGACTTACCTTACAAACAGCAAGATTTGTCGGTGGAATTGGCGAAGTTTGAAGCTTTGAAACGACTACCTGGAATTCTGTCCTACTGACTTTAAACCGCTGAGCCATTTCTAAAATGAACTGAAAGAAGACAATAAAAACAATAAATACAACTTGGATTTAATTTCCTTGACATCGAAACTTTTTTTGAAGTGTTTAAGAGTGTTAAGTATTGTTATAGGAATATCAAGGGAAGATGAGATTCTGAGAATATTAGCTAATATTCCAAACAAAGGGGCTGGCTTCCTATATTACTATTTGTTTCTTTTTCTTAAAATGATTTATTGTTAAATTAAATGATTTCTTTACAAGATTAGGAATAGTGATTTTGTAAGTAATAACATAAAGTTCAATCAGGTCACCATTAAATGCCCACTAAAATCAAAATTATGATATTATTTTTTACAAATTCTCTATTATAAAACCGTAAATTTTTGTGCTTAATCATGTCTTTAAAATGATTCAGTCCCTAAGAAACTGTCTCCAAATTTATGTAATTGCTGGCACGACAAAGGTAAATAAAAATGTGTTCTGGCAAATAATGAGTTCTAAGCTCAGTTGTTTCAAAAAGTGTATTGGCTTTCACTTATAGAAATTTTAGCTTTGACTAAAGCTACACCTTATGAAGTAGACAATCTGTTCTCTCTTTATAGTTGTCCCCAGTACAAAAATAAAACTAAAACTTAATTGGTTCAGCTAGAGCCTCCTACATAATATGCGGCTGTAAAAACCAGTTACTGTATATGTTATAATGACTCACTTTATACTCTTGTTATGACATTTTATTGCTTCAATATGAGAGGCTCAAGTCGTTTCAAATTAATTTTACCTAGAAATAAAAGATAAACTAGTTCCAGTTATTCCATTTACTGCAGATTCATATCTACTTCATTGCCCTAAGTCAACAATTTTTTCACCTGCTTTTTTTTTGTCAAAAATAGATAAAAACTTCATAGTTTTAAAGCTGCTATCACGCTTTGTTTCTAATTCTTTTATGCTTATTCAATATTATTCAAAATATTGAATGGCTATTATAAGAAGTACAGGGTGGGGAAAACGGATTAAGCAGTTTCCCTCCCATAGGACTCCCACTGTTTACGCTGTGGTATTAGGACACTTTTGATCTTTTTGTCATCATTCACGCATACCATTTCAGTGGCCATCATGGTTTAGAGCGGACAACATTAAGGTTATGCAGTGAACGCGTATTTTCAAAACGTCAGTCATTACGACGCAAGGAAATTTTTGACTGACAGCTTTTATTCCACACAACAATTCTCTTCTTAGTGGAAACACACAATTGACTTGTGGGTCAAAAATGTTAAAGAAAAGCTGCAGCACTCTTACAACTAAGAAACACAAACCACGATGATCAGTGAGAATAACAGGAATATAGAGTTTGTATGAGCAGCAGACTTGGTTGAGCAATAAGACATGCTTGAGCCAGTTGCTCCCGAAGCATTTGGCGACACAAAGTTTCTGTGTTTTTGCTATCTGATTATTTTGATTCCCAAGCCAACATTATGTATGAAAACGCAATACTATTTATAGAATTCATCTCAAACTACAATCTGACATAACTAATGTAGCATGCTCCTAGAAAAGGCAAAGGCAAAAAGCTCTTTAATTAATTGTGTCATATTCCCTGGCTTGTTATTGTATCGGAAAAACGTATACACTACATAGCATAGATCTTGTAGGTTCAAACCACAATAGCTACTGAAATAGTGTGCATGACAGATGACAACAAGAACAAAAGTGTCCGCCAACTAATACCTATACAGAGTCGGAGTACTACACATGTGAAACTACATAATCCGTTTTACTCCAAACTGTATCGGTTTACCTTATTGTACTGTTTTTCTTGTTGGACCAGTTTATCTTTCAGCCTTGAACTGTCATCTCTTAAAGTGGTTATAATTTTGGACAATCGGCTCATGGTGTGTCGTTGCTCAATATACATTTGGCTGTAGTGTGCCAATTCGGATTTCAATTTCATAAGCTGTAAAAATTGATAGAATTCATGGATTTAAAGTAAATTAGGCTAAACCAACAATATTGAAACATATATTTACATTTTATGTTGACCCAGTAGCTGTATTGGGGAGCGAGCTGGTCTAGAGGTAGAGCGTGGGAAGTCCCTGAGGTCCCGAGTTTTACTCCCGCCAAATCACCAATGGATTTCATCTAAGTGATAATGCTGCAGTATAAACTGAAGTAATGGGAAAAACAATCCCGGGCTCATGCCTAAAGCGTCCTTGGAAAAAAGTGGCTGTGCGGTAACAGCTTACAACTAGTATATTCATGCAATTCTCAGATACTTATCCTTTTAGTTGCTTGTTAAATAACAAATATAACCTACTTTAAAATGTTGAACTCAATTATTAGAAGCGTTGATCCTGGCCTATGCTACTATATGTTGAGCTGTCTGTACAAGCCTAAGCAATGCAGCACTTATAGGACAATCTATCCTTCCTAGCAAAGAAAAAATACAGGTCTGAGTACGTAGTCCTTTCTTAATTGCATTGCTAGCCATTTTACCTCTTTAGAAGATTTTTCTGGTTGAATATCTTCTTCTTCATTCAAGTTATCTTGTTTTTTTATTACATTTAATGTGTCCTTCTTATATTGCTCGAACGCTTCTCTCTCCGCTCTCAGCAAAACTGCAGCATAAGGGGTTTAAAAAAAGCAGTAATTCCGCATAATTATAACATAGTACACTACGTTGGTACTGTAGTAGTCTTTTAATAGTGGACCATTCATAAGCTCATTGTACATTAAAAAATAAATCAATAGTGCTGGTTGATTTTTTAGATTCTCAGTGGCGTAGCCAAGTTGCTCCAAGGCGGCAGTTCTGGAAAGGCACAACTTCTGAGGAAAAATATTGGCTTGTGACAAATGTACTTAAAATTAGTGAGACTTTAAATATCATACTAAAGCTGGCTTTTCTTCAATCAGGTTCCTATATTTTATTAAGTAAATATTTGGTTACAAGTTACCAAAACTCTAAAACAAAGTATACCAGTGGGGGCTGATTCCCCACCCATAGTTGGGTGCACACAGAGGCACGATGCCACAACTAGCATATCTGCGCTTGCACTCTCTTTAGGCTTTTGCTAAACTGCACATCAAGTTTTTTGGGGATTTCACTTTGTCCAAAGAAATACACATAATTTTTTAGCTATCAATTCAAATTTAAAAATGGATTCCAACTGCTAAAATAATTCAACATGTTTTTTAAAACACACGAAAGCTAAAGGAAGGTGTCGTAAATCTAAATACTTACATTTTTGTTTCTTAATTTCCTTATTTTTATTTTTCAGTTCATTTCTAAGATCTTCATTTTCTCTTATCAGTGTTATGACTTGTTGATCTTGATTCTTCAACACAAATTTCAAATCATCAACGCTCGAGTTGATTGACCCAATGCTCCAACTCCAGTGAGATAATTGAGAAGTATCACTCTCTATATGAACCACAATATACAAATTTTAAATGTTATATATTTGAAAGTCCTCCTATTGAATAATTTTGCAAAATATTGTTGATATGCTTTTATTTGCCAGCAAATTTGTTTGGCATTAAAAAACAATACTATTTACACTTGTGTTTGTTTGGTGTTGAATCATAGACAAAAAGAACTAAATATAGACCCTCAGCTGTGCTGCGGTTACCATAGGTTCTGGCGCACCCTAGCTCTTTTTTCCTTGCCATCTTTTGTGGAGATACATTGACTAAAACCACCCAATGTGATTTCCATTTCAACAATCTTGTGTTCAAATTAGTCTTTAAAACAGTTTGAATAAAGAAAGAGGCTTATAATTTTTTTTTGTATTTTTAAACCCCTTTTGCTCTATGTAGCTCTTGTAAAGAGTTCGTTGAACCTCCTAAGAGCTGATATTACATCCTTTATGGACCCTCAGGCCTCAAGTTTGATAGCTAAATGCTGTGCAAGTAAATAATTAGCTCAAATAAAACTGCAGCACTTGGAGGTAAAATTAACGTCCCAAATATCCAGGAGTGCCTGGAGGAAATTCTTTCAAGGAAGCTAACTATACCCGGTACTGTCAGAGAAAATGCTCCCCTCCCTCACAGACAATTTTACTGTAAAATGCTTCAAACATATTTATGGGCTGTCCAAAGCTGGTATTTACAATAATATAGCATAAACCTATTTGTTTAGTATATTTGGAGAAACATTTTACATGAATACAACTACTTACAAAATTGATAATAAAGAAGGTGAAAAGTAACATATTTGAATAGTGACAAAATATATGTTCTTTGTAAAGAAGATTATTATCCAAAAGAAAACTGAACATTTGTCATCAATTGAGAATAATGCAATCATGTTTTAAGTTTTCCCTACCTAATGACAAGTGGCAATAGGCACAGGCTGCTTATGGCGATTGATCAAAACCTTTCTATAACACAATCTTTACAACAGAACTTATTATTTGTTGAGGTTACTTTGAATTATACAGTATTTACCTCCTCTTTATTTTGTGTATTGCTTATGTATTACTATTTTTTGCTATGACTATAGAATATAACAACAATTATTGAAATTAACATTAAAATACATACTAACCAACTTTGTGCAAAAGATGTTCCAGATTCGAAGGAAAGCGTTCAGTCAAATTATTATCAAGTTCTTTGCCAATCGTGTGAGGTATTGACTTTATGTGTCCATCACCTTCATTTGCATTGATTGCAATATTTTTTGAAAGCTGAATTTCCTGCTGCTTCACTGCTTCTTTTAAACCTTTCATTGATTCAGCAAGTTTTCCCACCTTTTCTGATACTTTGTCACTTGATTCCTGTTTCGGTAAAAGAGTGTTGTTCCAAAAAATATATTTATATTTATTTTTAGAATAAACAGTTTATGAAAATTGTTTCTGGACAAACCTGGGTAGCTTACAATATTGAGTTGACACAAATAACAAACTTGAACATACATTAACTTTAACACTTGTACTTCAACACGTCAACAATTGTTAAATCCTTTGATCTTGTTAACTAATTTAATCTATTTAAATATCATCTTCTCTGAGATGATTTCACCAATAAACTTCTTATTCTGATCAAACCTTGGTTATTGTGGATAAAAGATAGAAAAACAACTCTGCTGTTTTTGATTTAAGAACTAAAAAAAATAACTTGGTAGAAATGAAGAATATGGATGGTAAAATATCCTTTATATCTAAATAAAAAATACACCCTTGCAGCAAAACTGCAGACTAAGCAAATTTCAATTTGTCTGACCCCTTCGAAATAACATTAGATCTAACGAGGTTTGCTGCCACGGAGAAAAAAATTGTCTTTTGATCAAACGTTAATACAATATGAGAGTTACATGTAGTATGGGAAAATAAATAAATTTGCCAAAATTTGATCAGCATATTATACCTATCTATAAACAAGTAAACTACAACAGTTTTCCCCCACAAGAATAATATGGGAATTTTTAAAATTTACAGTTTTTTTTTAATTTTCCCTGTTACCTTTAATAGCCCAACGATACTTCAAAACAATTTTTTTTTCAAAGATTTACAAGATGGCTATAATAAAAATTGGACATTCCCATGTTATATGCAAAATACACGATTAACGGAGGGTAATAAGTGGTTAGAACCTCATAAATCAACTACAGTTTGTTCAAAATTAAGCTTATTGCTTGGACAAACATGTTTTAATAAGCACCAAGGAATTTGTATCAGTGATTGCTAACATGAAAAATACTGCAATTTTTAAAAATTAAGATATAATATTAACTTTTTACTGGTTTTTCAGGCAATAGGCTGAATTGCTTACTAGCACCTCTAATATAATTTATAGAATTCAAATTGCATCATTAGTACCTATTGTAAATATTACCTTCCTAAATATTGTTGTGTTAAAGAAACTTGTTTAGTATTTACCATAGATGCCAAAGAATTAAAATGATTTAGTCTACACAAAGCATGTTTAAAATTCTTAAAATGTTTCACATACCATAATCCAGCAGATAATGTTTGTAAAAAACAAATCATAATTAAAAAACCATTTTAAATCATAAATAAATCCTAATAAGAGAAAACAACCCTAAAGCTGAATCAGCTGAATTTTCATCACATAACATAATATCTTACATAGGTACTATACATATTGTGTACTTTAAAAAAAGGAGAAAAGAAAGAAGAAATACTTCTTTATATAACTTAAATATACTTCTTAAAAATATATACTTCTTTAAATATTATAATCATATTCATTAAAACAAGACACGGTTTTTTTATTTCAAGATTCTGAATAAACAATTAATTTGACAGATTTTTATGATTTTTGTGTTGAAAGAAAGATAGTTTTGAGAACTAGGGAATGGCAAAGCCATAATTTTAGTTTAGGGTTTTAGTTTTTTAGAAATTAAGTTTGAATTTTTCTTTAATCTAGCAGCCGACGCTAACATACAGTAGCTTTAGGTATAATACAATTTCAATTTAATTGCTTAACGCATCAGCTGTAAACATTCAGTGTGTGTTTCACAAATTCAGCATCCATCCATATATAAATCCCAAACTAAGTACTCATTAACTTTTGAGAAAACTACAAGTCACACCCCCACAAACCGTATACTTAAAATGTTCGTCATATCGAGAAACCTTCATCCAACAAAATGGTTTGGTTACATTTTTTTTAAAAGCATTGTAATCTAACTGTCACAAAGGGTTCCCACACTCCGGACTGCTCGCCTTGACTACTTCCTTCACCACTTCCTATGGACCTGTTTCCCTCCCTTCGCATAGCATTTTAGCTTTGACTATCTCTATACAACAGTAATAGATTAACATCTTTGACTATATAATAGTCAATGCCAACATTAAATTGAATTAAGTAAAAAGCTGCTTAGTACTAAAATATACTGTACATAAACAAATATTTGTAATATTTGTAATGTAAAGGTGAATTTTTATACTGAACATAAACTGTAACTGCTGACTAATTTTGTAAAGTTCAATTTACTATTCTGAAAGTTGTGAAATTATAATGTTATAAATTCATAGACGTCAAACCCTTTACTCAATGAATGAAAGAGCTTAGAGGAAAAGTCGTTCTCTCTGTCTTAAGTAGACGACAAAATTGTTGGTCGCAAAACGTAAACAAATAAAAATAATAAGAAGGTATCCTCTAATTTTTCTCTTATGGGACAAATTTAAAAATGTATTTTTAGGGTTTTATAATTACTACTGAGCAGAATCGTCTAGAATTTTAATGGTGCCTTTCCACTGGTGTCATAACTAATTGTGTAAAATTTGAACACTATAAGTGCAACGGTTCTTGAGTTTTTGATGCGAACGCACAGACAAGCAGACAACTTTTCTCCGACTCCGCTATACACCATACATAGATTCGTTCACTCATCTATTAACCCTTAAACACGTGTGCGGGGGTGACATACCCCCATGTATGGTATGTCATAATTTTACAAGTAGGCCTATGGTGATAACCCTGGTGAGCATAGTAGCTGCCTAAAATAGCATATGATATATCATCTGGCCGCAAAGTTGTTATTCTTGACCAAGTCATTGACCTGTTATCATCACCCTGGGTCTGGCATACCCCTACCTTGTGCTTGTGTTACAGTACTGAGTTCATTGGGGGGTCGGGTCTAGTGTACCCCCATACGCGTAGTAGTGTCTCAGTTTTACTATCATAATATTATTAATAACTTTATAACTTTATAATTTATAATTTATAATTTTGATATTGAAAGTTTGAAAAAAAAAATCTTAGTATCTGTAAACCAATTGGATGGAAATGTCCAACCATAGAATCTACTGATCTAGCCACCCAGTAAAAAGGCCCGGTGCATCGTCTGCCTTGGTAAAAAGACGCCAAGACCAAATTTAAGAGTAAAACCTTAAAAAAACCAATGTGCCAGGGACAAATGTAAAATATTTGTGAAGTGTGTTTAAAAGGACTGCTAAACCAACCTCTGGACGAGGATGTTTAAAGAGAAAACGCATATTAGCAAAGAAAGTTGATTTATTTTCCTAATTTTTGTTCACATATATTTTCTACACACTGGGAAATGTATTATTTCATGAAATCTTTACTGCTTCCATGGTTTTTTTACAAGTGCCTATATTATGCATTTGTAAAATTAAAAAATAATATCTGTTTGCAGTAAAAACTTTTTTAGCTACGACTTTCCCCTCTTCAACACCATTATTACATTTCATCATGAAATAATTAAGGGTTCAAACTACTATTATTTTCAAAATAGGTTATGGTAAGATCATAAAATAAAACAATATCTGATCCTTAATTAATAGTAGTTTACGCAACGATTGCGTTAAGTGAGTCTTTACGACACGAGTAGAAAATTTAAGGCACGAGCCTTGGCGAGTGCCTTAAAAACTTCTACGAGTGTCGTAAAGACTATTAACGGAGTTGCGTACACTACTTTACCTACGACCGTTTTTTAATTACTATCAATCTGGATTTAATTACTAACAATCACTAATGATAACTTTTTAGAGAGGTTATGTTTTCGTGTATTGTCATTGCCACTGAAAGTGATGCAACGACTTGTTGTATAATCAGCTGATTTCCTGTAATTACGTGTTTGTTAAACTTCGTTAAATATTACCATAGATAAAACATAACATTGCTAGCAGCATTCTTACCATAAATAATATTGTATCAGGTACAATTCGGCAAATATTTCATTTATTTTTGGACTTCCACCAACTTAATTAAGAATACGCGAGTATCAACATGAACAAGTCGGATCAACAATTAAATTGGTCAACTGATCAGCTGATTAGTTGACGTTCGAAGCATTACAATTTTAATTCTTTTCTCTCAATACTTGAACCTCATTGGTCCGTTACCTGTGTGGATATGAGAAAACTATGCGGATATGAAATGAAACTATGCGGATATGAAAGTAAACAGCTGTAAAGTGAAACTTTTCAATTCTAAGAACTGGACTGAAATGGCTACTTTAAAAAACGGTCGTAGGTAAAATAATATTCCAAATACATCTTATGGTAATTATAGCCATAGAATATTTTTAAACATTATAACAGTCAAATAAATCATTGCAGACATGAAACTATAGGCTATACGTAAATTTAACATGTATCAGTTAGGTACAGTCATAGATAAAACATACTCCCTTAGTAGATTTCTCATCCTAATGGAACAGCTGAAGACAATTTTATTGTTAGTTCTGTACGGTTTATGTAGAGGTCGTGTTTTGTTTACAATTTGTTTCCCGTTAATACAGTCATTTAAAACCTCGTTTAACCAAATAATACGATCTAATCATAAACAATAAATTGTTCCCTAGTTATTCAACCAAAAAGTAAAGCACAAATCAAGAAATTAACCCTGAAATAATAGAAACAAAATTTTGTCGACACTAGCGCCCAGTGTGGCGTACATGAACTAGACGTGAAACTATAGGCTATACGTAAATTTAACTTGTATCAGTTAGGTACAGTATGGTACAGTACAGTGCGACCCTTCTGGTACTGTAATTATTTGGGTGTGACGCGACCGACAGAGGGATGCATAAGCCTACACGGAAACGGAAAGACAAGATTTCGTTAGGTACTGAAAAGGAAGGAATATTGGATTGATTTCAGAGTTAAAGGCGGCCGTGTTTCAGTCCGCCCCCGACCTAGAATTTTCACTGCACATTACTGTACTTTCGAGGCGGATCAGATCCACTTGAACCGGCGGAGTGAGTTGAGCACTGAGCAGTAGAGGACTGACGCAAGATGCAACACAAGGAAAAGACTGAAATTGAAATCAAGCAGACGGATTGGCCGATTGGTTCTTGTTCTTGGTTCATTTCTTTGTTGTGTTTACATAATAACACTGACACTGAGACACGAATTATTTCTTTCTACAGTTCAGTACAGGTTTGCTTGAAAAATACAATATATAAATAACAGTTAATTAATAAGTGTAAACTACAACTTTCAGTTTTATTGATGATTTAGTACTCTTTACCCCTAATGGCCTAACGTTTCTTTGAAATTAGGCCTAAGTAATCTTAACCTTAAAATGAGATTGGCCCAAGCTGCAATAGCCTCCTATCGTTATTACTTTTAATAAGTTAATAATTTCTAGTAGAAATATTTTTATATGGGCTAACTCATATTTTGTACAATTAGGCTAACTTAGTTGGTTAAAAGTTGATGATATTGAATCATTACTTAGTGGAGCTAAATCATAGTTTTTACCTTGCACTAAAACTAGTGTAGAGCCCAGTTCTCGTTTAGCATTGCTCATTAATTAAGTTAGTAGCTTACTCACCAATATAGGCCTGAATAAATATTGCATGCTTACATTGAGTTGCAGTACTTTTCTAACTCTGGTCTCAAAAGGCCCAAGTAACTTAAGTTGAGAATGAGAGAATGAGAATGATTTATTTCCTGAAAGCATAATATGTACAAGGAAACGTCAATACATCAAAATCTTAGCCTAAGCCTGCAACACACCATGCAGAGAATTGAAAAACAAAAACAAAACTTATTTGTCATCACACATTGGCACTCATTGGCTAAAAAAACTTACTTACTTGGCCAGGTGAAATTTCAAAATACTCTTTGAATGAGTAAATCGGATTTGCCAACAGAAGAGATTCAATCCCCATTTTGAATTTTGCTTCCGGCAGGTTCCGAGCTGTACAAGGGAGTTTGTTAAAAAACTTATAGCCTATCTCTGTATTGTATGTAGTTATGAGATGTAGGCCTAGCTTAAGTTTAAGTTACCTACCTAACTTATCTATTTAGGCCTAACTAAGATCTTCTCTATCCTCATTAGCCCTACTGTAATATTTCATATTTAAGTAATTAATTTAACTCTGAAAAGTTATTGTAATCATTACAATTCAAATTGACCCTAATTTTAAAATTTACTAGCAGTTTAAAACAACTTATGAATTTATGTTTAGATAAGTTAACTCATAAGAATGGATAAACTTCGGCGAGCACTGGCTGGTGACGACGGTAGGGACGATGACAGCGCTACAGGAATATTACCTGTAAGTAACACTTTTTTTGAAGATCTCACACTAACTTAGTTGGCCTACTTATTTACTTACTGTATGTTGATTAATGCCACATTTTTTTAGCAACTTTATCTTTGTGGCTTTTTATGGAATACTCAGTCTGAGAAAAAATACAGGTATTTGTAACAAATCATTTGAATTGCTTAAACATTGTAAAAACATAAGTAAAGGATAACTTATAACTTAAATGTGAAAAAATTTAAAAGTCTGTGCTGCTTCTTTCTAACATATTTTTGTACACATATCTAGAGTCTTGGTCTTAAGGCCTTGACTGGCCAGTAGTAAAGTCGGATTTAACAGAAACTTTGGTTAACGTAGCATTGAAATAAAAAAAAAAAATTGTGAACAATGTTGAACAACATTGTAAAAGCTTGAAGCTTTCTTCTCTAAAAACTATTTAAATGTTTGCTTGTCTAAAGCAACTAACTTTTTACAATGAAAATGTGAAAAACAACAAAGTAAAAGCAACATTGTAGGCCTAACTGTAAAACTAGACAACACAGAGATAGGTGCTTGTTAGCTCAGCTGCAGTTCTCTGTTCGCAATATGGCTAAGATGAGAGAGGTTGCGGAGAAGCAACTTATAAAAATACACTAGTAGAAGACAAACTGTTTATATGTAGCATGCAAAAACTATTAAAGAAGTGTGCAGCTACCTTCGGAGCCTGGTACATGTCTTACAATATAGGATTTAAAGAAATGGATTGCCTAAAAATCCTAAGTTACTGCAGCCCTACCCAGTGCTCGATTTGTAAAAAAGTGAGGTGACGAAACTGTAACATATTTTATTTGGTTTGTACCTATTTATGTCCCTAGGCCTATAATATGCCAATATATTAATCTTTCCGAAAGAGAAGTAGCGGAAATCTGTTCCGCCGTGTTCCCCCGCAAATCGAGTACTGTTCTTTCCATATAAAAGTAAAAAGCGTTTTCTTGATCGTCAATCGTCCACAGGGAGGATCGGATAATTATGGAAGATCGAATACCCGTGTAACAAATATTTGGACAGTCTTTAATAATGTAGGGATTGTAGATAAAAGATATTTTTCTTTAAATAATAGTTTTATTGATAGTGTGTCTTTCTCAAATGAAAAACTTGGTATGATTTTATTTTTTAGAAATGCTTTTGATCGAAGTATCTGTGGATACACATTTTCAAGTTATCGTATGAATATTAAATATGCCAATCGATTAGTAATTTTTTTTATGCATAAGAATTAGTTACTATGTTCTTTAACTGTCATGGTTGAGGGGCGGTACCTAAATAGGGATCAATAAAAAGGCTTCAAATGATAGTAAGACATTTTACTGCAAGTAAATTAAAATTTTGACAAACTGAACTAATTACTACCTACAAAAAAACCAAATCCAACAAAAATCTGTTACTACTAAACTAAGGTAAATGACCAGCACCGATGCTAAACTAAAACCAACAATGAATTGAAAGGGTAAGTTAAAAAGCAATTACCTTTTTTCTAAGAACTGAGGTTCTGTTACAGTTCATTAGTGTTTCAAGTAAGATTCATTTTAAACTTATACCTTTGTATCTTGTTGTTCAATTGTATTCTTGTAATTTAATCACTTTACTCTGCATCTTAAATTTTGGCCACACAGAGATTTTTTATGGTAAGTAAGAAGTTTATTGAGAATGTGTCGCAAGTTTGTTTTTAGAAAAACAGAAAAATTGACTTCTTATTTAACATCTTTCATGCTAAGTTAATAAGGATTAACCATTTAATTAATTGTTCAGATATTAAAAATATAACTTCTCCCTTAATTGACTGTGTAAAAATTAAGTTTTAATAACCTTTTACAGCATTGTCATTGTGTAAGCTTGTTTTAATCTCTGTGCGTTGTATTTATAATAACACCACTATATGTTGTGTATGATATGTGTTTCATTGTTTTCCTATTTCAAATCAGCCAACACCGGATTCATGTACACCTCTTCTTCTTCAAAGTGTAAGTCAAAGACAGAAAAATATACACACACTCATGTAGATTTCCCACACAAGTCCTGTCTAGCTTAATTTTTAAACTCTGTCATCCTCATCCATTAGATATTCCATTTATTAGTATGACCAACTCTTATATTAGTAAGCCTAGATTAATTAGTAACTTAATTAGTAATCCCTTTCACGGAAAGTAAACAAAAGAAACGTCTTATAATACAAAAAACATAAAATATTTACGCTTAGGCTAAACCGTTACTGCAAGGATGGTAAATATACAAAAAATATGGTAAGTGGTGATCGATTTCGATTGGACACTCCAATCATCATCAGACCCAATAGGCAAATGTCATAATCTAAGGCTCAAAAAATCTAATCAGGGGCGAATATTATTAGGAGGGCCCAAAATAATGGATATGAAGAAAAAATAGGTAGGCCTACCATAAGATGAATTGTTTACCATGAATCATGCGCGAAGTCATCGCCGTGGCAGATAGTGATAGTTTGTGCGAGATCGGGTTGATTCAGACCAACTCGAGCTCCCACCCGCCGCCCGGCTATCTTCGCTTGCAGCAGGGACCGCTAGAGACCAGCATATCTATCTACCGGGGACAGGGGAGAGGAGTAATGAAGAGTTCAGTGTTAGCCATTGTTATTGGTTGTTATTGATATCTGTTCAACATATGTCGTACTGTAATGTTAACGTTTTGCAGTTTGCACAATGGAATAGTTATACAGTAATTAGAACCCCTCCGAATATGATGATCACAATCGCGTATTTGACTCCTAAAGGCCCTGTCACACATGGCGAGTTTACTCGCCGCTATTAGTTGCCATTTGTACTCGCAGGCTTAAAAAACACACCCAGTCACACATGGCGAGTTGTAGCGGCTACTTCAGTTTGGTTGTGTAGGAAATTACTGTGCTGAGGAAAATGTCATCTTTGGTATTAAAGATCCCGGCTTTAAGAAGTCTGTTGCGGATTTGCGTAAGTGATCTGTGCAAAAATCAAGAAGAAGAACAAACACAAGTGGGTTCAGGAATGGATAGGGTGACGAGAGGGTGCTTCATCAATACCAATGAAAGAATTAGCAAATGAACGCCTATAATCATATTTTAAAATAATAAGGGGTACCATTCCAAAATTTGGAGGAAGGCAATTTCATGCAGAAAAAAACTGGAAACAGCTTAAAGATACATGGCAAGTGGGGACAGTGTTGATTTCAATGTCGGCTACTAGCGACTACTCGCTCCAAAAGTTGAACATGTCCGACTTTCCTAGCGAGTGAATTTTTACTCGCCGGCAAGTGCTAGTCGCCACTACTTACTATGTCACACATAGCGATAAGTAGCCGCTACTCTAGTCGGGGCAAGTTTTAAACTCGCCATGTGTGACAGGGCCTTTAAGGTTTGCATAAGTGTTTACAGATGGGATGTGTTTTTGATTTAGTAATTGAGATATTTTCTTCATTTGGCTTGAATAGATATATTTTTATGATTTAATGGAACAATATAATGATACAGCGTGATCTTGGTAAAGTAAAGGTTACATTCAGCGCAAATTACTGCAGCAAAACTGAGATAAAGTATCATAGTGTGTCTATTTGAAATTACAACCTAACTTTAAATCTCTAAATAAATCTCGCTCCCCCCCCCCCCTAAAATAATATTCTAATTCTATATTCGCCAATGAATCTAATCGAATTCTCTTGATGGACTAAGGGAAAGAGAAAAAACATCTGAGTAATCTTTTTAGAATGGATAAAGTTGGGAAAAACATGTTTGTAGTGAGAACATGTTTAATCATCCCCATAACCCAAAATACGAGTTTTATTCTATGTTCTATGTAATTTATTATTTAACCCATTGGGGAAGGAATTAATGCGCTACCTGCAGCACCCTCTGGCGGCAATTAATTTTACCGAATTTGTAGACTTTTACTCTTACTGCTATAGAAAGAAAACCTTAGGTAATAAATTAATAATTCTTTCACCATTTTGTTCACAGTAAAATTGTCTACAGAAAAGTGGTAATTGGATAGTCAAAGTTCTAAACAAAACAAAATTATATATAAAGATTATAAAAATAAAAATTTTAAAAACAATATTTTGAAAGTAAACTTGATATACAAATTCCAAGATTAATCCAGACACCAAATAACACTACTATTATAAAGTTCAATCGATTCCCTACGTAGAAAAATCAAAAGTTGTGTACTTTTATAAGTAATAAAATTTTTTAAAAATTGTTTGTTTACCTTACCGCAGCTGATTTTTGGTGATATGTGGTTTCCATGGCAACACAAAATTGTTTGTTATTTGCTAAAATAAATGAGTAAATACGCAAATCAAGAAGCAAGATATTTATAAACATTATAATAGTAAGAAGAAACAAAAAGGGCGAAAAATAATAATAACTAAATAACTAATGGCACTGCCTAGCGGCACTCGTAAGTTTTGCCGGGCCTGCAGCAGCCGTACGAGTAACGCTCGTAAGTCAGCGCCAATGGGTTAAGTTGAGCCTGCAAACAAAATTGACATTTTCACAAAGTTATAACAAAATTTAAGGAATCATTTTTAACATTTTTGGCAGAAAGTAACTTCACTAAATGATTAAGAATAAATCATAAATATTCACTCCATAGACCGTCCCAAGAAACCACAGAAACAGCTTTCTTCTTAACCATGTTTTGGTTTGATAAGGCGTCATTGAGTGGGCTGTTGTGTACTATTAGTCGTTCACAAAACGTGTTGCCATTGTTTACTATTTGGCAACAGATGTTTAATCTGTGTACACCTGTACACAAGGTGCAATATTTTAGTCCATTATCTTTCCTGTGTACCAACCAAACTTATATTTTTATAATTTCCCTACTGATGATTCACTCGGAGTTTATTTCAGCGTTTAAGTCACATTTTAAATTCTACCCACTTCAATGTCGGCTATTGTATTTTTTTCTGTCCATTTTAAAGTAATCTCCACAAAAATGTTTTTAAAATCACATCTAGTACTATGAGTGTGCTCCAATAATCTGGAAAATATGTATATATTTAACAACCAATTTCATTATAGTACAAGATTTACATTTCAAAATATATAAATAACTCCTTTACTTGATAAAAAGCACCTAGCAATCAAAAAGTTAATCATCCAGCAACTGCTCAGTTTATATGTGGACTGATGTTACAGTAATAAAAATACAAACTACACATTAAAGAAACGCTTAAACCATCACTGTTTTCATATAAAACTGAATCGTCTTGGTTGATCCTAAAAGACTTGAATTAATTGGAACAGGAAGAGTAGAAAAAAGATTGATATGCGTTGACAGTGTCCAAGGAAGGGTAGAGAAGTTTGCCACTGCTTGCGTAGGCGGGAGTGTCGGTCGAGGTGTTCGACCACGTCTTTAGAATGTTGCGAATACGCAATCCCCACGCAATCTTTCCCCCTGAGGAGACTTTGTTTAAAGAAAGCAACTAGCCCGCAGGTGATGAAGAATCTTAAGACAACTGTTTTTTGTGTTAGGTTAGGTTGGATAATGTCATACGATTTTATAGCCTAGTAGTTGTTCCATGTCAGAATCTATACAATAACATGGCGTTTCCTGAAAAGATTGTAGTTATTAATTTGATTGCTTTAAAGATTTTTCAGGGTTTTCAAAAACAGGGCAATATTTCTACCATTAGTTTTTAATTAGTTATTGGTCTGTTCCCTTATGAAAAAGTTTATATATGGCCATATAAAATTTTTTTTATCTGTTTATATTTGGTTTTGGACCAAATATAACCAGATATGATCATATATGGAATCCCCCATATATGGAAATGTTTAAATAAAAAATATATAAATAAATAAAAAAATTACAATTAAACATATTTTCACCTTAAATGGTATAAACTATGCATTAAAACCATAATAAAAATTTTTAATTCGAAAATTTCAAAACAAAATTTTCAAATACCCGGCTGTGATTCGAACCCGGGACTCCAACGTGGGAGATCGCCCCTTTAACCACTACACCACAACCGCTTCATATCAAATAACTTAACAAAACCCATTATGAATAAGAGAAGCTGTATTTGGTCTCGTAAAACGAGATTTTCTTAGACATTTTATGTCATTTGAAGAATGTTATTATTAATATAGCCTAACTACGTGACATAGATATTTGCGGCTGTTTGATAGCAAAGGTACAATTAATTAATTGTTAATATAATATTCTCTTTATTTAGGCCTACTACACTTACAATTTTAAAATTATACGTCAGTTTTAAGATTTTGTTGCGTTATAATAAAATTGTACAATAGATGTATGTACAGGATTTTGTCATCTGCGTTCAAATCTGGATACTTAATGAAGTAACTTAATAAAGTAGTAAAGCAATAGCTTTACTACTAATTACTTTAAATGAGAAATGCCTATATTATCTGCCCCCCTACTGTACCACATTTCAACTCAATCAAATCAGTAGTTTGTGCTTGCGAGAGCAACAAGAAAATACACAAACTCACAAACTTTAAGATTTATAATATTATATATATATATTATAAGAAGTGTTTGGGAGTCCAGTTACAAAATCCAGATGTGGCAACAATTCCTTAATTCCAGTTATTGCCAAAAACTCATTTATACATGAGCATAAATGGAAAATTATTATTCCGTATATGAGTAATTTAATTCCATACTTGGGAGTCATATATGGCCATATATAGACCATGATTCCATATATGGAGGATATTTATGGCCATATATGGGCAATAATTTCATATATAGAAAACATGTATGGCCATATATGGACAATCATTTCATATATATAAAACATGTATGGCCATATATGGCCAATAATTCCATATATAGACTACATATATGACCATATATGGACACCACCATATATGGATACAACCACATCTGGCCATATCTGCTTCCATATATGGCCATAAAAAACCATATATGGCTTTATAAAAACATATATGGAATTACTTTTTTATAGGGGTTGGCCTTTAATTTGTTTAGCCATATCACTGACAAGTCATTTTGTCAAACAAATAACATACAGCATACTGTGAAGGGAAATGTCTGATACCTCCTTTGTATGTTATTGCCTTTCCTATATATATGCCTTGCTTGCCTGATCCAACGAACCTTTATAACTATACTGGTGCCTTGTTTGTTTATGTAGCATACTGGTTTGCATGACTACCTTTAGGTGTCCCCTGTTTGTACTGTAATGTTAACTTACATTATTAAGTCTGGTTTAAAATTATTTTTGTTTATTTTACATTGGCTATTAAAAAAAACATTCAACCATCTGAATGTTGTACTATCCAGTTAAAGTTTGGTGCCTAGAACCCAGATAATTGCAGTTCTACTTGCTTATGCTCAGCTAATTCTGTATTGTGTCAATCAGGGTTGGGTATTTGTTTATTACCGGTACACAGCTATGACATTTTCTATGTACTGTACCTTAAACCGAGTTTGCATGAAGCCAGGTTACCTTCCTCAGGTATCTTTAAATACATTAGAGGTAGGTTTAATCTTCCCTGTAAAATGTCTGCCTATTGGTCTAATTTTTTATATGTGCATTCATATATTTTTTGGTGTTACTAATATATTCTCAAAACAAAGCAGCATTAAAGGTTTCTTCTTTATAGTTTGTGGTAAAAAAACATCACACAGGCACACACATAACATGGTGAAAAACAGGAAAAATGTTGAACATTTAATAAAAAAAATTATTGTGCATGAATTCCTACACAGCTAAGTTACTAGTTAGATTGCAGAACATTGTTTTTCATATATACTCTCCACTCTGAATATAAGTTTTTTTCTACAAAACCACCAAATTAGTCTAATTCATTGTAGTAATATGTTCTGTAAAATGGTTCATTCTCTCACATTTTTCTAATCTTGAGGTCTAGTAGTTTTGGATACAAGTCTTAGAGACGTAATATCTATGTCTGTGGATAGGTGTATTATGCCTAAATAAACTTACAAATATATAATATTTCTGTTGGAGATTATGTTAGACGAATGTTGAAAAATTTTGTGAACATAAAATTGTGGCATGTTTTGTACAATATAAAAAAAACCCAACATCGTTAGTTTCATTAATTAACTAACATGGATATTTTGTTGAACAAATTTTTAAATGTTTAGAATTTGGATGCTACCACTCTGAGTTGGTCAACACGGATAAAATGTTTTGCCTTCTGCTTCATCCTTGGAATCTTGGTGTCAATGTTGGCATCACTGTCCCTGTTCCTGCACCGCGGCTGGTCCCAGTTCGCTGTTCTATACACACTGGGGAACGTCATTTCTATGTTGAGGTAGGTCATACCAGGAATCTCAATCACACAATCCTGAATCCATACTCGATTCTAGCCATTTTTTAAATACGGTACCTTAAGTGTAGCATCCTATAATCGAGGAATTGGCATTATCGAATATGGTACTGTTGTTATGTGTTTAGTTTTATTGTATTGAACGTCCAATAAATATAGAATACATTGGTTATTCAAGAAGGTGTGTATAATGATAATATGTCCGTGTTGTATTACACAGCACACTGTTCCTGATGGGGCCCGTCAACCAGATGAAGAAAATGTTTGCCCAGACTAGGATAATCGCCACAATCACAGTTTTGGTCATGATTGTTCTCACTCTGGTTTCTGGACTTTGGGTAAGTAATGTTTTATTGTTCCATTTGTAGTTTTTAACTATGAACTCTGAAATAAAATCATCCTATTTTTGGGTAGCCACATTTTAAAGGCATAAATTGTGCAAGAGACGACAAAATAAGGGAGGACAATGTAAACATTATTTAATTAAAGTACCAATTAATGAATGAATGGATATCAGCCGACTAGCTTACCATAGAGGCAGTACAGATAGGCCATAGAACACCAAGAAGGCACACAAAAAGACGTTTGCTTTTTGTTTCTTCCGTGAGTTCTATTGCCTACGTGTATTGTACTTCTTTTAAGGTAAGCAAGCTGCTATTTCTTATAAATATCTCTTAATTAAAAATGCTATCTCTGGCTACCCTGAAAATCAAAATCCTGGCCTATAGCATCTCTTTGAACAAAACTAATTAATGGAATAGGAAAGTTATGTAAAGAGATCGAGTTCAGCTAGTTTACCTGGGAAAAAGAAATATTAAATAATATTTATTATTTAATAAATAAATAAATAAAAATAATAGTACAGGGGTTATTATTATAGGGTGTATAAAAACTCCATGGAAAGATTTTGTAAATTTGTTTCTTAGGTCAAATGGATGGAAAATGGCTATTTGTCTGTCTGTCTGTATGTGATTTTTACAAAAGTATCCATAACTTTTGAACATCTTAAGTGATTGACTTCAAATTGAGTATATAAGTGTTTGACATTCCATAAGGCACTTACATAAGTCATTACTTTTATGTGAATTAGGCATACCATTGACTTTGGATACTGCAAATAGGAATTCTATTTATGCAAACCAAATATATCATTGACATTGAATTAATATGCTAGCTCCGCTCAATATTGCAAGCAGACAACTGCTTTGTACACCTAGTAATTCCCTTCAATCTAGCCTACTCTTTGAAGAAGCATTATATTTTTGTATTTTAGACAAACAATTTCATATGATAGTTTATGCATTCATCCTATATCTCAGTTCTTTTGTCAGCTCTTCTCTGTCAGTTATTTAGGCGAGACGAATTCAATCAGTCGAAACAAATACATGAACGAAAGAGGTTTAAGTATTTGCTTTATTTTATACAACTTTCAAATGTCATACAATATGCTTATTGTACATTTTAAAGTACTAATTAATGAAATAACACTCTATTTAATAAGGGTTAATTCCTCTAACTACTTTTTTTACCTTGACGATATATAGGTTATATTTGTACAGTTCTAAACATAAATCTTTTAGCTTTAAAAATGGACAACATGTTTACAGATTCAAAACCCTGGGTTGGCATTTCTGTTTATAATCATGCAGTGGATGGCTATGACCTGGTATTCTCTCTCCTACATTCCTTATGCCAGAGACGCAGTCAAGAAAACTGTCGAGACATGTATCGCTTAACTCCCATTTACTGTTAATATTATATATTTTTTATCAAATAATTAATTACTTTATAAACACATTGTTTGCTGTACCCTAATCAATAACTCATTTGATGTAAAACATAAAGAGGTAGACCCTGGTGTCTTTCATGTCAAATGTTAATGATTTAAAATTCACTAGTTTTGTAAAACTCTGAGCATGTAGAAACCTTTTAATTTTGAGATGAATATGTACATGTAATATATGAATACATGCTCCAGGCAAAATCTTTTTTTTACTTAAACTTATAAACTAATTGTGGTTGGGTATTTTTTTACCAATCTTATTCATTTCCAGTTTTTTTTTTTAGGGATAGATGTTTTAAAATATTTATTTATATAATTGTGATATATTTACTAAAAATTGTATAATTTACTGTTGATAATTTATTTTTAATATAGACATACGATAACTAAGTGTAACGAGAGATCCTGTGTGCAAATTGAACATTAATAGGGTTTAAACTTGTGAGATATAACGAATAAAGCAATATGCCTTCACCTTTAAAATATTTCCTTGTCGCTGAAAAATTTAATAATTTCTCATTATCATATCAAACATAATACAATGTTTGCTTGAGACAAATATTACATTAATTTACAATATTTTAAAATTTATCTCGGGGGAAACAACCTTAAGGTATTTCTCACAAAGTAAACATCCCTTTAAATGTTCATGTGCTGGATCATAGTCTTTAAAATGATACCTCCATCTTAAAAATCAGTTAAGAGGACAGGCGAAAAAGATATGATAAAGAGATAACCCTTAATATTTTAAGTAGGCTATATCTGGTTTGTGGCAAAATACTCCTTTTCCAAATAACTTTACTAGAGAACTGTTATTTGTACATAATAATTAATTTATCTTCCTAAAGCAAGCCTTGTTTTAATAATCAGTTTCCACAAAATGGATGTAATATCAATCAAGTTTTTGTTTTAGAACAGCATTTTCAATCATATCACTCTAGTTTTATCCGTAAGGATAGTAGGTTTTTCCATCTTCAGCCATGAGTATACACATAGTTTTTAGCTAAAACTATTTTTTTTTTAAATCAACTCTACATATTTTTTTTTTCAAGTTCACTAGAAGACTGATTATTGTCAAGGGATTTTGATAACTCATGGATGGTGGCAAAATTGTTAAACTTTTGGTGGATGTGTGTAAATTTCTTGAGCAAAGAAGTGAATTCCATTCAGAGGACAAAATTGAGATTCTGTTTGAATTTTAGACTTAAAAAAGTGTTTTGGATTAATGTGGGATCCATACCAGAGGCTGTAGGGTTGTGATAAAACAAAAGCTGTTACTCGTGATTGACTGGGTTGGATTTTAAATTTTGAGCCTACACTTTCAGGAAAACACGTTAACTTATACAGTAGACTCCCTCTTATCCGGACTCCTCGGAACTGAGGCCAGTCCGGATAACGGGTTTTCCGGTTAAACCGACGTCCCCAAAAACTCGTTAAAACGGACTGTTTACTGTGATATTCAACTTAAATTTAGGTGAGCATTGTATTTAGACACGTGATCACTGGTCTCAAATCTTTCCCTCGAGAACAGTCGTTTCAGTACTGCCCACTTCCTGCCGATCAAGTCCGGTTAAACCAATGTGCTGATAAAAATTGTCCGGTCAAAGAGATGTCATTTCCGCCAAGTGTAGTCCGGTTAAACCGATGTCTGATTAAAAGGTGTCCGGATAAGAGGGAGTCTACTGTACAACCTAATAAAAAGAACAAATACTAAACAATAATAAAACCCTGTTGAACTGGTGCTGTTGGGCTTTGATGAGAAATACATTGTAAAAGACCATCATGTTATAAGTTACAGTTAAATTAAGATTCAGTTGATTTATTTGTTGTGTGCTCCATTTAGATATGAGTCCTCAATTTGGGGATTTAAAAATGCTGGGTAGAATTTCATATTCATACGATTCAAATAAACTGGTTTTGTTTCGTGATAGACTCGATGAATAAAAGATATTCAACTCAGGAATATTTTGTGTTATGTTATTCATGAATATTTATGTGTGAAAGGTATGTGAATAATTTGTTGGAACGGAACTGTTATGCGGTCATAATTTCATGATTGTATGTTTGTTTGAATTTTGACAACTGGTCTTTTGTTGGTACTTGTTCAATGCAACTGATCTTTTGTTGGTACTTGTTCAATACAACTGGTCTTTTGTTGGTACTTGTTCAAAGCAACTGATCTTTTGTTGCTACTTGTTCAATACAACTGATCTTTTGTTGGTTAATTTGACACCAATTTAGTTTTTTTTTTTTCTATTGAAGTAGATAAAAATAGGTCTATTCCGTCCTGTATGCTGAGTTAATTTCTATGGATTAGTTGTGAAAATATTCACTAAGCCTATAAAATCCTTATGGGTTTTAATTTCCTCAAACTTTTATAACAATGCAATCCTTAAAAGTCTGATCAATTTCACCTTTAACTCTTTATCCTTTAGTCTTCACCAAACTGTGGCAAGAAGCTAGCTGTCTACATTATATGTCACAAATAATACCTCTAGAATCCATCAACTGTTTAGATTCACACTAAAATTTTATGTTCAAGAAGACCTTGGCTCTGAAACTTATGTCAATTATTGAATACTGTCAATTACAAATACATAAAGTTATAAAATATGTTTAGATTGAATTATTTAATCAACTTTTACTGATATTGTATTGTAGGACATTTTATACTTTGAAGTGATTTATATTTTTAAAAACAGCATATTAAGTTAAAGTGTAATGACAATAAATACTACTATCATTAATTGTTCTATTGGTTTAGTTTGATAAGTATGTACATATTATACTGTGTAAGCTTTTAATAACATATTTTTTTGAAAAACACTTTTTTACTTTTTTTACTGGACCTATTCTTAACACTAACATAAGTGAACCCAATTCACTAGACTTGTAGAACTCATTAGTTTTGGTGGTTGAAGTGGCTAACAAATTATGCCTAAGTTGATCTCAGAAGAATATGACCAACCTGTCAAGTAATTTCTAGGCCGGGGCATGGAACTGGACAAGAATAACTAGATATGTTGTTCCAAGTCCAACTGCCTAAAACATAAGTTTGTATTACTGCCCAATATCTCTTTAATCTGAACAAATAGTTTATTTTATTAACTAAAAAAGTTGTGGACCCGTCCTATGTACAGCGATCAAGTAGTTAGTGCTAATAATTGTGACTATTGCGACCCTAAAATGAAAAAAAATTATATGATGACTAACTGAAAAATGATGTCAGGATATCCAAAATGTTTCTAGACGACTCATTGTTGATTTTGGCTGAAATTTGTGACGTCACCGGGAATTCTCGTCCTTAGCTACTGATGCCCGTTCTTATCCAACCTCTAAGTATTTTTCAGCCCCACATGCTCACTGTCACACAGTAAAGAGTTTTTTTATATTCAATAGTCTTATAAAATCAATATTTGTATAACAAATATATTTACAACACCCACCGCTATTTTATACAGTCTTTAAGTGTTCAAGAATTTCAATCAGAAAATGTTTTCAACCATTTAAAAAAATACTTTGTATGGAAATAATATAAACTATATAACTTATACATTAATTTTACGAAAGAGTATTAAGTTAACACTGCACACAATACAGTTGACAAAAAAAAGGAAGCACCAAAAAAGATCGGAATGGCTGACACGGAAACAAAAATCGTCAAAGGTTAAAACAAAACGACCGAACACAATGTTCCCAGTGCGAGAAAGAGCTCATATTAAAGTAAGGTTGTTGTTAGAGGAGAAGGATGACATTTCTTGCCCCGCGCTAGTGGTGATGATATGGCGGGATAAGAATTCCCGCCCCACGTACTGAATGTGTTAAAGCTGTATTTAATTGCTTCAGAACAGGTTTTAATATAAACTAGCATTTTCAAGAGCTATAGACAAAAATGTTTTCATACACATATTATTCAGCATAAAGGCAAATTCAGACGGTTTCATTATGAAAACACTCCTTGGTAAAAAGTGTCACATGGCTACCATTTTTCATTCGGTTATCTAATTTTTAAATCCAATGATTTTACAGTAGAAAATAGGGACCACTGCTATTTGCACACTCAGGGGTGCCCACAGGGGGGTTTGATGTCACATTTTGCGACATCAGAATTTTATTTGGGGGGGATTTTATGATTTTGGGGGGGATTCAAGCCAGTGGTTGGTTAAACGCACATAAAAGATTAATCAGATAATTTTTACGACCTCCTTAATTTATTACTGGGGTAATTATGCAATCAAAATCCCGTTTGACATTTTATCTTGATTAATAAACCATTTTATAATTGCTATAAAATATATAGATACTTTTATGTGGATTTCCACTTTCTGACTCGTATCATGTTTGACAGTGAGAACAACTCCATGTCAACTGCTGTCAAAGGATTATGGTTGCTTATTAAATTGTATCTGCAATTTGAGTTTGCAGATATCACCAGTATTATGATAATGATAATCATTTTGCTATTTTTACAACATGAACAACAACATGAAAGCTTGTGATAATATTTTGGCTCTCCCAAATAATTATGCCTGGGTCATTTATTCATTGGAAGAAATTGACATACAGTACTGTGACAATTTAATTAAGGTTTTTGATAGGCTATGTGTTTACGTTAACTTCAAGAACTGAAACACATGATTCTGGATTAATTAAATTGTATTTTTTATTGTCTTTTCTTGAATCTAGAAAGAACTTCAAACATATTTTACTAGTCTTAGAATAGATATATAGCCTACTGTAATTATTTTTTTACGCCACACTACACTATTTTGTAGGGATGGACGAGATTGGATTTTTAGTTCGAGACGAGACGAGACGAGATTTTTTATTTCTCATAAAATTTCAAGACGAGATCGAGACGGGATTTCCCTTCTCATACACAACGGGAAATGCACGTTCGGAATTTTTACCTGATTTTGTAACATTGTTAGATGACTGTTTAAATACAAAAATAATGATAATAGGCAAGAATATTTACAATCTTTTATTAAAAAACATCAACATAACATTTTTTTATTAATCACGCCTAACTTATTAAAAATGCCTACGATTAGGGAACATAGTGATATCAGTTAGGATAGAGTTCAACTTATCCTAAAATAAAATAAATCATAAAATAAAATGTTAATTTTTATAAAATAGTTACTTGTTTTGACTTTTTTATAGTAATAAAACATTCCTCACACTGCTAACACTAACTTAGCAAAACTTCTCAAATGTTATTAAAATAATTAAAGTAATATTTACATTTGAAGAATTAATTAAATAAGAACGCCTTCGCAAAGGAAACGCAACTACAACACGCTCCTGTATTGCGGGTATTGCATTGACTTTCTGCAGGCGTTTTAAATTTTTTTTTTTTTTTTTTATTTAATTCTCGTCTTTATAAAAATCTCGGCCAAAAAGAAATCTCGTCTCGTGTAACGAGATTTAAAATTTCCCGAAAATTTCCCAAAATTTCGAGACTTGACCATCCCTACTATTTTGACGAACTTCCCATGCAAGGATTTAGTCCAGAAAACAGCTGTTTGTCCTTAATCAAATGGGGTTTCATACAGTACTACTATACTGTAATGAGTTTTGCCGGACACCAATCAGCTGATTATACTGTATTTGGGTGGCAATGAGTGGTTATAACAAAAACATAACCTCTTAACCTCTCTTAGAGGTTATGACTAGTGATTTTTAGTCCTTTAGTTTGTGGTAATATAGGGATTTGAACGGATTTAGTAGTATGGCTTAAACTATCGTACGCCACTCGTCCAAAATGTGTTGGCCGGACTCGTATAAAAAAACCACTACTCGACTTCGTCTCGCACGGGATTCAGGACTAGTAACATAATATACTATTTTAACACACTATGATGTTTTTAACTGTTTTACATATAGGTACATTAATTGGTGGCTGAAAGTTACGTTTTGCAGGCCATGCCAGCTGTCATCGTCATTCGGGGATCGAGCAGGTTTTTACATCCCTAGGGCCGCAAAATCAGCTGCCCGTTTTAAATACACAATCAGTATCCATAGCATTGCAATAGAGTTGTTTTATTGTCACCGCTGCCTAGCAACTATTTATTATTATTTTTGCTGATTCCACAAATTATTTATCCACATGACCTTAAAGTTGTAGTTGTGTTGACTATATCAGTGTGCAGTGCATTATCATTGAGGTGAATTAGTGGTAATAGGGTATAGTGTGGGGTGGTGAATAATAGCGTTCGTACCACGGACTCAAATGGTTTTGCAGTTCTCGATCGTTTTAAGTCCTCGACCTCGTATCGAACTTAAAAACTACCTCGAACCAGACAAACCTCATTTTGGCCCTAGGCACGAAAGCCTAGTAATATTTTTGAGACTGAATATTTTAAACACTTAGTTAAAAAGGACCAAACTCAGAAGTGGATTAAAGGGCAATTTAGAAAATATCTCAAACTTTTGATATAACTTCAAGTACTTTCTCCCCTACAATTTAATAGGGTAAAAGAATTGTTTATGTAAAAACCCTGATCCCAAAAAAGTGGTTTTCGAAGTGATGTGTGTGTCTGTCTGTATGTGTGTATATGTATGGTACAGAGCTAAAGACCACGCCTGTGGTCCGAGTCCGATTTTGATGAAATTTGGTATTTTAGGTACCAATCCATGGTCTCTCCAGATGTTTTATTTTTCATTTTGGATTTTTAATAGTGATATTCCATAAAACCCTATAAAATAATGGATGAATAAAATTTTCTCAGAATTGGCCGGAGCGATTTTGATTAAAAATTAACATGTTATAGGCTACTCTTTGACTATGACAAAAATTGTATAAACCCTCTATGCCGTAAAAATTATGGTTCAAAAGTTATTGCAAATTTTGTGATTTTTCCCTTTTAAAACCTATTAACTCATGGAAAATCGGATAAAAAAAAAACTACATTGTGTGCATGTTAAAAGTCCAACTCATTTAAATTAAAACTAAACTAACAAATAGTTTAACTAGAGTTTTAAAGGAAAATTGTCCATTTAAATTGGGTTAAAAGTTTGATTCAAACGCTTAAATTCCCATAAATTTAAAGAAGTGTCGGGGGCACCCCTTCCCTCCCCGCATTATAAACATAACTATGGGTTAGCCCCCAGACCTTCCGGCATGGGTTAAACAACGAATTTGGGGGGGATTCTGCGACGTGAGCTTTGGGGGGGATGGGCACCCCTGTGCACACTGGTTGCTAAATGCCTCCTTACATTGTGTACATTACCAGTTGAAATTTTCAACACTTTGGTATACAGACACACATTCAAACATAAATCAAAATGAACTATCAACACGTAAACCATGTAAAACATATACAATTAAAAAAAAAAAATTCTAAACAAATTAGATTAAATTTTCATAACTAAAAGTTATATCCACACAGATTATATTCACGCCAAAACATGATTACTGTACACACAAACTTTTTGTACAGTATATACAGGGTGATCAACTCGAGGAGGCCACCATTGGGATCAGGGGCGTCGCCTTAGGGGGGGTAGGGGGGGGAGCCTCCCCCCCCTAGAATTTGGGAAAGAGAAAAGTTGGGAATTTCCTTGCCACGAGTTGGGAAATTGGGAAGTCAGATACAAGAAAAATATATTTTTCAACTAAACAAAATTTAAATATTTGCGAAAATCCATCAAAGATAAAAATGTCTTTGACTTGGACAAATAAACTTGTCACTTCTTTGATTTCATTTAACTTGATTAAACAATGCTAAACCATGGCTAAACACGCCTTATTTTAAGAAATCAATAATCAATTAGCGGTATAGCTTGTTGGAATT